GGAAAATAAAACGTAATTCTAGATGGGAAAGAAAATTTAAAGGGTGGGGAGGATGAAATCACAAAGTCACCGTTTTGGGCAGAGGTGGGGAAACCTGCGACCTTGAGCCCGTTCCTTCTCATTGTGTTTTTTTCTGGGGGTGAGGGGGGTTTCTGCGAACTTGTTTAACGAGATTTGTTCGTAAATTAATATTGCGAACTAAATTTTTATTGATTTCGTGTATCCAGAAAAAGATTAATAAATATATGGGTCTGAATGGGTTGTTCAAATGCTGACATGGATGGACAACCCTTATTCTGATCACTCCCGACAACAGCAGAATGCGTCACAGATCAAGAGAAATACCTGCAAAAAGGTGATGACGAAACTGTGAGTCACGGTTACAGGACGGCGGTTGGTGCCGACGGGTCGCAGCGAAACATTTTATCGGTAAAGTTTCTATTTTCCTCCATTGACGCAATCATGAATGTACTAAACTAAGTTTTATTCTCATTACATCTCTATAACAGTGGTTCCCGAATGGTGTTCCGCGGAACCCTAGGGTTTCGTTGAAATATTCAAAATGTTCAGAAAGTTAGAAAAAAAAAATTTCTGCTAAAGAAAAAACTAGCTGTTTGAAAAGAAAAAACTTTTTTGAAATTGTTTTTTAAAAACTAGCTGTTTGAATCTTTAGAGTTTCGAAAACTATAATTATATTAAGTGATGATATTTAGACTTGTTATCATAATTAGATTTACTAGATCTGATTAATACTTTATTATTTATTTAGTGCAACTGTTATCTTTATGAAATTTTTCAGTAAAATACCGATGAAAAAAAGCGAAATTTAATAGCATGAATACGCATATATTTTTCCAGTAACATTGTGTCAAATGAATAACACAAAAGATAAACATTTATTAGTCTGTATCATTCAAAATAAAATAAATCAATAAATAAAGAAACTGCAAAAACTTCAAAAAGTTTCATAATTCTGAAAATTTGCAATTTTTTTTTTATTTCAACGAAACCATAATTTAAATTATTCTAATATTACTTTTAGTTTATTATTTGTTTAATTATACTTTCAGATCTTCATTTATTTAATAATGTTTGCTTCCCATTTATATGTTTCCGTGATAGACCGAAATCAAGAGAATGCCGACTTTCACAAGTGAATGTCAACAATCACGCAGTCGCTTTGATGAATGTCCGAAATATTTGTTATATCAGACTTGATATTAATATATTCGTTGATATTGTTATATGTATTTATTTGATATTTTAATATTTGCTGAGGATAGATTAGGAGAAACATCAGTGTTCGGAGAACCGATTAAATGCCTACTGGGTACTTGACCTTAAAATATACATTGCTGTAGGGCATACCGGGCAAATGTATACCGGGCAGTGGGACTGGAGCACATTTACCGGTAGAAGTCACCAATCACCCAATTCGATCATTAACGTTATAACATATACACCAAAAAAATTTAGACCTAAGCTAGACCTTATTCCACATCAAATATTTTTCAAAATAATTAAAAGTCTTATTAGTTAGCGTGTTTGCAATTACTAATAAAGATTATTTATAAAGATAAAGTCAAGGGTTCCACCAAATAATGGTCAATTATTTATGGTTTCATAACCGAAAAGAATTGGTAACCGCTGCTCTGTTTAAGACCTGTTAAAATAAAAATAATTAGAATCGAGTAAAAAAATTGTTAAAAATTCAATGATAGTTTATCCATAGAAAGTAACTATAGTTCCTTTTAATTTACGGAATATATATAATACATAGAATTAATTGACGACTTTTTCTGTTTTAATCATGCGATTTCTGTTTGTTACTGACAATAGTTTTACCAACGATGTTCAATTTTATTTTGAATCGTATTCATCATGTCCCATGAGTTTCGAACGGTGTTGTTCAATTTTAGCAAATCTGAAAATTAAATTATGAAATGAAAGAAATAAAAGATAAGTGAAAAGAAGAATATATGGGTAAAAAATATTTTTATTTGGTTATTATGTGAAGGAAATCAATTATTTATTTTTATTATTTGTTTAAACGGAAAATTTTAGGCGATATCAAAAAGTATCTATTGAGTAATGATTTATGACAAAAAGGTAATAATATCTGTTACGGATAAAACTTATACATTACCCCGCAAAAATGGAAAGGACACTTTTAGTTTTTGACATTCTTTTTATAATTTTTCAGGAAATACTTTAAAGGATTATTTTGTAACTTTAGAGGTGTTTAGATCATGCCCTTTTTCATACTCAACCATATGATTTAAAGTTTATAGAAGTTTGGAAGACCAACAATAAATTACGAGAGAAAACAAGTATTTTTAAACACCCGATGGCAGAAAATCAAACAAAAAACTTGTAACATGTATCGATTACTTACTTCAGTTGTTATTTTTAATAACTGCATTAAGTTTTGTAAACCTAGTGTAAATATTTATGGAAATGTGTGCATTTTTACAAAAAACTAAATTTATCGCCTTGCGTTTTTTTTTCTGTAATTTTATAAATATTCAATGGAACAGAATAAAATTTTTGAAGAAATTTAAAATTGATTACAAAATTGTTGATTTAAAATTTAAAAAAAAAAGTCGTTAAAAAGTGCGCGAGCGTTCTTTATACTATTGCGTTCTTTATTGCGTAGCTAGTTCTTTTATACTATTGCGCATGTGCAGAAAAATTTAAAGAAGTTCCTTAATCATTTTGTAGGAAATCCTATTTGGCAACTAATGATAAAAAATATATTTGTATAACTTAAAAATTTGAAAAGTTTCAAGTGGTTTTGTTAACAGTTTCTGTGCTTTTTTGAAAAAAAGCTCAAAACGATAAGGAATTATCAACAACTTTCATCCTGTATTATTATGCAAGATTAATTAAAAATGAGACCGTCATTGTGGGGGATCACTCCCCATGTTTTATTTTGCATGCTTTCTTTCCCTATTCCATCAAAGTTTAGTTTCCGGACTATTATTGTAAAGTATTATCAATTGTTATTAAATTTTGTCATATGATACAAAATGAAATTTGTGAAAAACCTCTGATCGTTCTGTGCTTTTTTTTAAAAAGTACTACTTAGAAAAATGCTTGAAACTTTTTTAATTTTTAAGATATTCAAATCAAATTTCTTATTAGTTGGCGAATATGATTTACTGCAAAATTATGAAGAAAAAAAACTTTTTAAAAATATTTTAGCGTATTCACAGTGTTAAAGAACTAGCTTAAATACTCATAACTTGCGCAATTTTTAAAGGAATTCTTTAATTAACAAATTAATCTTAAATTGCTCAAAAAATTTCGCTAAATTCCATTAAATAACTATAAAGTTATAATGAAAAAACGTAGGGCGAAAAAATTTATTTTTTATAAAAATGTCTATGTCTTCATAAATATTGACTCCAGGTTTACGATACTTTATGCAGTAAGTGAAAATAACTAAAGTAAGTGATACAAGTTACAATACAAGTTATCAATCTTTCTATCGACAGATTCCGTTTCCTATAATTTTATAATCGGAAATGTGACGAAATACCGAGTAGATATCGAATATTTCGTTATTCATGCCACAGGAAAATAAAAGTTTTAATAAAGAAAATCAGATAATAAATTTAAAAATAATGCTTAAAATTTTGATGAATGTAATAAAATTACATTTATTTGTTGAATTCAGAAAACGGGGTAATAAATCATCATAGTAGAAAACTATGCTAATTGACTTTACGGGTAACTTTTCTATATTTTAAATAAATTAACAGCATGAAATAAAAGAGCAAAATTGAAACTATTTTCAAATTACCTTGAATAATTCGCTTTCTGAATAAGTTTTAACTTTCTTTTTCGCTGCATCGAAAGGATTTGATGTTACCTCCATCATTTCCATCCTGTCATAGTTCTGCGTGTTTTCCTTTGTTATCACAAAATACTTCCTCAAATTAAGTATTCAACTTAGTATCGTTCTTTTCATAGTAAAACTCTATCTGCATTTTTTAAAACTCAGATAAATTCCTGGAATAATTAAATAAATTATTTTTTTAATATTCATTCGTCGTTACGATAAACGTTATTTTCTCTCAATTTTATTCGAAAATAAGACATTTGTCTTAGTTTTAAATGTAAAGATTTACACTATAAACAAAAATAGCGTAATGAATACGTGACGCCAATCTTATTTTTCAATATTATGAAGGAAAAAAATTAATAAAAAAAGAGTCAAAATAAATTCGAAATACTTGCGAATTTCACAAATGTTTTCTAAAGAGCTCAGAGGTAATGACTCAGAGGTAGAGCGTTCGCCTTCCAATGAGGTGAACCGGGTTCGGATCACAGCGATGGCTGGTCGATACGATTTCCGCATCCGGCTGGCACCGTCTAAAGTGCTGACAAAAATATCCTCAGTGGTAGACGGATCATAGGTTAGGGTCCCCTTGCCGTTAGTCTAACAGTGGCAGGTTTTCGCGGTTTTCCTCTCCATATAACGCAAATGAGGGTTAGTTGTATCAAAAAGTAATCCACGAGGACAATTTCTCCCTCTACTTTATCCAGGAGTTCCCTCTTCTTCTGGATTGGTTTCAAAATGAGAAGGCTACAAAGTTGAACATTAGTAATAGTAAGCCCAAAAATTGGGTCTGCTGTTCAACGACGGTTATAAAATGATGTTTTTTATAAACACGAAAGAAAAAAAATTTGAGAAATAGAAAATGAAATTTCGTAAATGTGCCGAATAGTTGGACAAGATGATGACAATTTTTGGGAGGTCACAATGACCTCCCATCCCGGTGCCCCTGACCATCATAAGTAGTCTAAATTAAAGGAACCCCTTCGACCCTTTCATGGAACACTATTGTTTCGCAGAGCATTTTTTGAGTCGACCATGCCGCCCTAGAGAGAAAAAGAATCCTCTCATTTTTTATGTTTTACTAAGTACCCAAACCGACGTGGGGGGGGGTGGAGGAGAGGGAATGAGTAGTAAGGATGGCGCGCGCTGCGAAGGGACTTCCGTCTCCACCCCTCTCTTCTGCCACCACGATCCAGCAGCAGAGAACAGACAGCAGCAGCAGTAGTAGTTTTATGGAAGGAATGGCCATGACGCTAACACCATGTATCGTTAGATTAGAATAAAAGAGATGATATCATGGGAACATAACTGAAATGATAGTGGATTAAAAGAGAATTTAGTGGAACGAGAATGTGGATTTTTGCTACAGTGTGTTGTTGTGCTCTATGGAGTATCGCCGACGCCAATGGTAAGTCCATCTCTCTCTCTCTTTGCGCACACAACTCTTTTAAGTATTCTATCACTACTTTTATACTGCAATGCTACCCATTTTTCTTTAATTGGAACATATTATTTTAATCTAATTCTTATCCCGAAAGTACAATGTAAGGATATTATTTAGAGACAAAAAAACAGCCTCTTCCCTTGAAATAAAGTAGAAATTTTTACAAATCTGCCTAGGGCTCTATAAAGATTTGATATAAAAAAAACCTTTTTATATATTTATTTTTTTATACTATTCATATGTGAAAAAACGTTGGCAGTTCTTTTGAATACAATTTATTGTGAAATATATGCATATATTTTATCTAGTGAATAAATTAATAAATAATTTTATTCTACTATTTTTGGAGAAAATGAAATAAAATACAAAAAAATTAGACAAAGTTATTTTGTATAAAATACTTTTATACCGCAATGCTATTACCCATTACCCATTTTTTTATATTATTATTTTATTTTTTTTATATTATTTAGATGTGAAAAAATGTTGGTAGTTCTTTTGAATACAACTTATTTTGAAATATATGCATATATTTTATCTAGCGAATAAATAATTTTATTCTGTTATTATGGAGAATTAGGAATACAAAAAAGGTTGGATTGAAAGTTTTTTGTGTACCTACAAATGTTGAAAATGAATTTCTTTTGGAGTATTTGTTTTAAAAACAAATTTTTCAAAGAAAAAAANTTTTTTTTTTTTTTTTTTTTTTTTTTTTTTTTTTTTTTTTTTTTTTTTTTTTTTTTTGTATGATTTGCGAATTCTGCCTGCTTTCTAGTCTATTATTACAGCAAGGATATTACAAAAGAATTCTGGAGCTAGATAATTTGTAGTCTCCTCTGTGAATGCGAAAATTTCTCAAGAAGGGGGGGGGGATTCTCTCCCCTCTCTCTATATATACTTATATATGAGTCTTATATATTTGCAGTTTATGCGCAGTAAATAAAACAATTTATTAATTTTCTTAGTTTTTATTCTTTTTTTCTTTATCTTTATTTATAGTTATATATTTTTTTTATATTTATTGTGCGATATATATATATATATATATATATATATATATATATATATACATATATATATATATATATATATATATATATATATATATATATATATATATATATATATATATATATATATATATATATATATATATATATATATATATATATATATATATATATATATATATATATATATATATATATATATATATATATATATATATATATATATATATATATATATATATATATATATATATATATATATATATATATATATATATATATATATATATATATATATATATATATATATATATATATATATATATATATATATATATATATATATATATATATATATATATATATATATATATATATATATATATATATATATATATATATATATATATATATATATATATATATATATATATATATATATATATATATATATATATATATATATATATATATATATATATATATATATATATATATATATATATATATATATATATATATATATATATATATATATATATATATATATATATATATATATATATATATATATATATATATATATATATATATATATATATATATATATATATATATATATATATATATATATATATATATATATATATATATATATATATATATATATATATATATATATATATATATATATATATATATATATATATATATATATATATATNTATATATATATATATGTATATATGTATAAATAGTCCCTGTTCAAAACATTCGACGCTCTATTATAATTGATTCTTTGTAAAATCTTAATTATCAGGTGATACTATACAGCTTTATTTGTTTTTGCGCGACTGAAACCGGTTTGAACTTGTTTAAGTTCGTGTATCAGTTGGTTTATTTAGGTGATAAAGAATATAAATTCGACGATTGGATAAATGAGACGATATATTATATAAATATATAATATTTATTATATCCGGTATTATATTATTATATTGTAATAATTAGATCAAATTATTAGACTCGCTGTAGTTTTTTAATAATGACAAGTTTTGCACGCGTTAATATGCAATACTTTTATATTTAAGTATACATGTAATGGATTATTATTCGGGAGTTTTTTTATATAGTTCCTATTTGCATTTATTTTTAACATATTGCATGTTAACCCATTGATACACCAACGTAAACAAGTGCAAACCGGTTTTAGCCGCGTAAAAACAACAAAGCTGTATAATATCAACTGATAATTAAGATTTTACATAAAATCTTATAGTTTGTCTAATTATTATGTATATATATATTACGATATTTAGTAATTTTCCGGATCACTTTTTTTTAAAAGAAATATATCATTATTATTCTGTTCACTGTGACATATGAAACCATGAATTTTCCCCCTGTGGAAGGAATATTTCCTTTGTGGGAGGGTGAGTAAGGGATTATTTGGTAGCAGTTTTCTGCAAGGAAATGCTCACTTGAATTAAAGACATTTTTCTTTTAAATTCATATACAAAAAAATTATCTTTCTTTTTTTTTAAATTGTAAAATAAATGACACTAATATTGAGTGAAAAATTTTAATTTTAGAAGGGACTGTGCCACCTTATTTCAGAAAAAGTGAGGGGGCTAAGCACCCCACCCCCCCTGTTTCGCCTTCCCTGAGTCTATCCCCTTCTATAGAAATCAGAGTAATTTTCTGCAATGCACGAAATGTTTCGATATTTAAAATTAATAATGATATGTGTAGAATGAAATAACACATATAAATACAGGGACCCGCGCTAAGGATTTCAAAATTATGAGCCAGTAAATTAGCCAAATCTCAAAAGTATTCGCCAAATGCAAATCTTAAATTTTTTATGTTTAATTTTTTTCCCCATAGAAAGCTATTCAACGATAGTTTGTCTTATATTATTTATACCCAATTCTAATTGGTTATGCATTACAAAAAACAAAAATTACTGTAATTCAATAAAATAAAAAATTGATTTGTTTAGAAAAATTCATTTTGACGTAATTTTTGGGGATCTAGTTAAATATATATTTTTCTTTACCGTGGAAAAAATATTTCGCCAAAATACAATTTTATTCGCTAAATTTATGATTTTTATTGTATTTGGTGAGGTAGCCAATGCTTCACGCGGGCCCTAAAATATTGACCTTTTATATAAATATCAAAATAAATTTTCTTAAGATAATTGAAATTCTGATATAATCTTTTTGAAAAAGTTATTTATCATTTTTTATCAACAATATTAAGTCCTTTTTTAACGCACTTAGTTTCTTTAATAAATTTTAATTAGTTGAAATAAAATGAAAAATGTGAAAAAGAATGTAAAACTTTTTTTTTACGTTTCTTACTCTGAAGTTTTTGACATGATAGAGCTAAGAAAACCATCTCGTCATTTTGAACCCGATTTAGAAAACAAGGGAACTCCAGGATAAAGTATTGGGAGAAATTTGCCTCCGTGGAGAACTTATTGATGGAACTTAACCTGCATTTGCGTTACATGGAGAGGGAAACCACGAAAACCTAGCACGGTTAGCGGTACGGCGAGGGGACTCTAACCCATGAACTGGCTACCACTGAGGATATTTTACGTCAACACTGTGGTCAGTGCATGCCGAATGCGGAAGTCTTATCGACCAGCCATCCCTGGGTTTCGAACCTGGTTCACCTCATTAGAAGGCGAACACTCTATCCCCTGGGCCATCACGGCTTAAGGAATAATTATAATAATTTTTTAATAACTATATAGAAGGAATAAAAAAGAGAATCAATACATACTGGACACAAGATATAGGGTTCCTTAACGGTGTCGCGCTTAATGTTTAAAGGGGCCCGGAAGCCAGGACATTTGTTAACAGTTCTTTTTTGAAATCTGTAATTACATTTAAATCTACTTAACTATCTGTTATTTATTTAATATTTCGGTGGCTTTTACAAAATTGCTTAAAATAAATTACAAGTGAAAAATAAATGGAAATTTTTTTTTTTTTTTAGTACTTAAATTCCTCTATTAGCAGTTGCATTTGTGTTGCTTATCTCGCTCTTCAAATCAAAATGAAATATATCAATTCATTCATAAAGATTTATGTTTCCCCCTTTCAAACGTTTAAAACACATCGTTTTAATTTTCATTCGAACGAAAACCGTCATTACATTCCTTTTCAATTTCTGTATGTATGTGTTAACGGTGAATGACCGGAATTTGTGGTTGTTGACCTCCACCCGTGAATGTTGACAATCACGTAGTCGCTATGATTAATATCCGAAATATATACTTGGTGCCACTGCCCGGTATGCCCTACACCATTTTTTTCAGGGTTCAGTACCACTGCCCGGTATAGATTTGCCTGGTTTGCCGTACATCAATGTTTTCTTAAGGTCAAGTGCCACCGCCTAGCTTGCATTTTAACGATACTCCGAACACTAATGTTTCTCCAAATATATCCTCGGCAGATATTAAAGTATCGAATAAATATAACAATATCAACGAATAAATTAATATCAAGTCGTATATACCAAATATTTCTGACATCTGTGATTGTTGACATTCACCGGTGAAAGTCGACATTCTCTTGATTTCGATTATTCACGGTCACCACAAACAGATTCCTGGACACAAAATTCAACTGTCGGACAGAAAACCTAATTTACCTAGTTTTATGATTCTTACTAAATATTTTCAAAATGAATAATTTTTTTTTTCTTTACTGGTAAATACTTTCAAGTTATTTTAAATACTCTTGATATCTCAAAGTTGAAGGGACGCTAAAAAAATTTCGAGATAATAAGTTCGGAACTAAATATGTTCTGAAAAGTAGGGAAAATATGTTCTAAAATATTGCTCTAAAAAGTCATGAAACATAAGAATAACTACCAATAAATATGAAAGGGATGATAGTTGACTATAAGACTAAATACAAAAAGGTTATTTTTAAAAGTAAGAAAAAAATAATTATGCAATAAATAGAAAATAATTGATTTACAATGAACGTACATTGGGATTTTTCCGGAAAAAATTGCTTTTCTATTTCTAAAAAAATTCGGCATAACAAGGTTTTGAGAAGAAACTCTTTCGACATAGAAATTCAAATTAACTTAAGCTGGATGTATAATGGGATAAATATCTTTTGGACATAAAAAGGTTTTTGGAGATGTCGAGAGAACTTTATTTCTAAAATTGAGATTCCGTCGGAAGAAGACTGAGAAATTGGGAACCGATGATCTAGTTTAAGTCGTGTTACAAGAGTTTCTTCCAACATGATCAACCTTTCAGGGAGGTTTTTCGATGTTTACCAAGGTACAGTTTAAATGACGGCTTAAACTATATACAATCAATTGGGTTTCAGAACGGATCAATAGATTCGATTTTTGCACTTAGGAAAAATCTATATTTCGAAAATTTTTATGAACCTTAAGAAATATTAAGCCTAATCTTAAAAAAAAAAGAAAATGTTAAGCCTAATCTTAAAAAAAAAATATTAATCCTAATCTTAATAAATATTAAGTTTCACGAAAGTTTCCTTCGATTTTGCACCATTTTCGGGATTAAAATAGTGGTCGCTAGTCTAAAAAAGCAAAACCTGATCGAGCATTCTGAAATATTGTAAAATTTGCGAGAGAAAGTTGTTATATAATCTAAATTATATCAAAAATCAGCCATAATGTAAAACGTTGTCAACAACAAGTTCGATATACAGTTCGACAGGTCGGCTTTTACGATCCATTACCGAAGTTGAAGTCAGAATCGTCTTAATTCCATGCAGGGCACAAAAATGTTTTATATCTCTTTAACATGCCATCATGTTTAAAAATGAACTAAAAAACTTCACATACATAAAATAATGATGGAATAATTTTAACACATTTAAACACATTTTGATTACCCTAAAAACTCAAATAACGTATTTTTAAATTATGCTTAGTTTTTAAAAAAATGATATGCTAATCAGCTGTAATCCTCAAATAATAAGATAATTTTTAAAATCATGGAAGTTAATTAAATTAAATAAACATTAAGGTATAACAAATCAAAAGGAATGAATTATTTTCTCAAACTAAACAGTTATTAAAACATCTTTCAATGCCCAAGTACCAAACATTTTCACGAGTATCTCAAGTTTTCATTGGAATGTAGAAAAATAGATTTTGTTTGCCTTTTTAAGTTTTTCAAGGTGATGAACTATTCAAATGAATGGTGTTGGCATGATAAGCATTATTGGTCAGGAAAAAAATTCACACTTTATACGGCAGGATATTTATTTTAAAAAATATGTAAGGCATTGTTTATTCTTATAGCTTTTTTTTCAAATACAATTTATTAAAAATAAGATTCTCAAGGTCCCCCCAGACACTGCCCATGCGTAAAGACGATACTGGTCAATATAACGGTGGAAATAGAGTGGACACAGGAAAATTGCATGGTTATAACGAGTTTCAAATGATTAGCCTTCCGGTATTACGAAAAAAGTTTTTTTTTAAAGAAATCCATTTTTCTGCTGTTGAAGTGAGCAATATTAAATATAATAAAGTTTCAATGGGAGGCATTTTTACTTGTTTTTAGCATTAATGCAGAAGAGCGAGAAAAAACATATCCAACTTACTATATTAACCCTTTGCTTTCATAAAACAATGCTTCGTCGACCACCGCCTAAATAATCTTCCCAATGAACGAAAAATTCCCTTACTTTTAGCTTCAGAAAAATGTACCCTTTGTTGACCACATATCTGTCGATGACTCGGGAGATAGAGCTGTCGCCTTACAATGACTCACGTGAACCGGGTTCGAATCCCAGTGATGGTAAGACGATACGAGTTTCGCACCCGGCTCTCACCAAATACAGTGCTGACGTAAAGAGGAAGACTAAACATGAGTTAGAATCTCCTTGCCCTCAGGCTAACTGTAGGAGGTTTCCGTGGTTTTCCTATCCGTGTAATCCAAATGTGAGTTCGTTCCATCAAAAAGTCCTCCACGAAGGCAAAATTTTTCCCAGTACTTCATTCCCTTGTCTTCTGGATTGGATTCGAAAAAAACAGAGTTGAACATTAGTAGTTGTAAACCCAAAATTGAGTCTGCTGTTCGACGGCGATTATAAAATGAAATATCTATAGATTATTTCTTTTCGTGAAAATTATAAATAGTCACAGACATCAAATAAAGTCGCGTTATTTCATTTCTTTTTTTTTTTCTTCATTTTTGTGTGTACTCCCAACCAATAGAAAAATTTCTTAGTATTTCTGACTTTCATAAAGTACAGGGCTACAGTATACAATCTATAAGTAAAAGCAGTGCAGATGTGCTTTTTAAAATAATTTAAGAGATTTTTTTAATCAGATTAAACGGGATAATTTCATTGTTTACTCGTTTTAATGGCTAACTTGACATTAACTTTAGTTTTTCTAAAGTAAGAACTCCCCTAGCTATTCGCCTGGGACCCGTAGCGGTCACTATGGTAACGAGGTATAACTATTTCAAGAGGGGGTGTGGGTTCATAGTGTAGAACCGGTTTTGTCTCGGGTAAGCGAGTGAAAGGGAATCTTTTTCTTCAGTGTTAGCCCTGGAGTGAACAGAAGCTACCCTCCCTGAAATGCGCTATTCTTGTTTCCATAGCAGCAGACTTTGGGGTGGGGGGAGTTCTTACCGTAGACAAACTATATGTGTTGTAATGACGATTGTTTTCATTTTTTCCAGGTGCTCCAACGATCCAGCCTTTCTCGTTTTCGAAGAATGTGACATTCGGTCGAACGATAAAGACGTTGTGTACAGCCACTGGAAAGGAACCACTATCTTTTCAGTGGAATAAAGATGGATTGCCTTTAACACATAACTCGCACAATATTAAAATACAAACGCATGACGATTTTAGCATAGTCTCCCTCACACCTGTCGATTACAACAGTCCTGGAAATTATACATGTATAGTCAAGAATTCAGAGGGATATGCCACTTACACTGCTCAACTCCTTATACAAGGTGAGTTTTATTATTCTCAACCGCTACTATAGCACGTGTGTGCTTTAAAGTCAAAAATAACATGCTATATTTAAATTGTGTTATTAAAAATTAATTACAAAAATGAAGAATAAAAAAGTTTAAGTTAAGGAAAAATTTCATGTGCAACAAAAACATATAATGAAAACTTAAATTGTAAAGAATTTAGATAATGGTAAAGAAGGTTTGAGGAACGCGTCCTCTCTCCATGCGAGTCAGTTTGGAANGGGGGGTTCAACCGGTTATGCTGGCTGGATTTACCTCACTTCAGTTCGCTTTGGAGTGGTCAGGAGGGTTGTCGAGGCACATACTTGGGGACTGGGTGAGGCACACCACAGCTACCAAATGATATAGTTATGCTTTTTCTTTAAGTATATATAAAGTCCCTGGCCAATTATCGAGTCTTAATTATCGAGTGATAACTATACGGCTTTATTGTTTTTACGCGGCTGCAACCGGTTTGAATTTGTTTACACTCCTCTATCAATTGGTTAACATTATAATGCCATGCGTTAAAAAATTAATAGAAATAGGACGTATATAAAAAATCTTCCGAATAAAAACCCGTTGCATGTATGTTTAAATATAAAACTATTGCCTATATAAACTCGTGCGAAGCATGTCATTATTAAAACAATGCAGTGCGCCTCATAATGTGGTCTTATTATTATAATGTACTGATAGAATGTTCCCTGATATAATAAATATTCTATGTTTATACAATATATAGTCTAATTGATCCAATCGTCGAATTTATATAATAGATCGTCTCATTTAACTAATTGATACACGAACGTAAACAAGTGGAAACAGTTACATGAAAACAATAAAGCTGTATAGAGTATCACCTGATTATTAAAACTTTACATGGAATCTTAGAGTCCGTCGAATAATTTAGCCAGGGGTTATGGACTTAGTGGACACCCAGTGGTTATGGACTTAGAGGCACATATAAATAGGATGATGTGGGTCCCCCCTTTTGCATCGATGACAGCCTTCTGGGAAGACTTTACACCAGTTTTTGAATAGGACTTCCATCATAGCTGTGCTTGCAGTGAGGATTTGGCTGGAATCTGCTCTCTCTCCAATTCATCCTTAAGGTGTTCTATGGGCTCTGAGGAGGCTAGTTTTGTAACGCCTATTTCATCATACCACGTCTGTGCAAGCCTCGATGTGTGAATGCTGGAAGAGCAATGGGCCAGAAATATCGACAGTGCAGCATTGTTCACATACACATCTGCAGAGTTCCAACCACAGGAACTAACTAACCTAAGCCAAACCACGAGAAACAGCCCCCCCACACCATAATGCTTCCACCGCCATAACAACCGGGTGACCGAATACTTTTGGCCACCTAGTTTATGTAATATTATATATATATATATACTTCATATAATTTTTCCACGGTTTTAACGGCGTAAGCATCTTTGTCTCTGACAACCTTAAAATGTTTAAATAAGTAGAAAATTTAGTGACCATTAAAATTATGAACAAACAAAAGAAAGCAAGCTAAGTATTAACTTACAAAAGTAAATAAAAGCTCACAATTAAAATGAGTTATGCAATGAATAGTTATAAAAACAACAAAGGATAACTAACCAAAACTTGGCCAAGTTACCAAGACGTGGCGCATTATTCTGCCCCAGTTCACGATAGGGAGAACTCTGCAAGTACTAAGAAGAATTCTGTTTTAAAATACATAAACTTCAACTTAAATGTATTCCATCATAGTTTCCGAGAAATCAAATGTTGCAATGATTGTGAACCACCATCACCCCAATGAAAGAATTTGGACAGATTTTTGATGGGCTGGCCAGCATAAAAAAAACTACTTTTTTTATGATAATTTTTTGATTTCTCCTGGTCCAACAATACTTTTTATAAAACCATCATGGAAATTTATTGTTGTATCATTCTGAATCATCACGAATTTCCATCATTGTTTCTTAGAAATCAAATGTTGAAACGATCATGAACAATCATCACCATTATGTAGGAATTCGGACTGATTTATGATGATCTAACATTAGAAAATAAATAATAAAAAAAAGCAGATTGTTTTGATGGTTTCAGTCCCTTTTGCCGAAAAATAATTCAATACACCTGCCTATTTCTATAGTCCCATGGACAGGTGCAAGTTTAGCTACACGTACCCAACCTATTCATTTTCATTGTCACGTGATTTAAAATAACATATCGTGATTCGTATTTTACTCATTTTAAAAATCATAAGTATTGATCCTTACCGCAATTTAAAAATTACTCATCGTAATTCGTATTCACGCGATCTAAAAATCGCATTTCGTATTAAAATAAATGGAATTTAAAAATCGTGATTCGTATTCCCGCGGTTTAAAATCGCAAATCCTAATTCGTGTTTTGGCATTTAAAAAGTCATACGTTGCTACTCTTCTCGTATTTCAAAAATCATACATATTCACGCGATTTAATAACCACGTATCACGATACATAGTCAAGCGTTTTAAAATGCATGCGTTGTGAGTCTTCTCGCAATTTAAAAGTCGCTCATAGCAATTCGTATTCAAGCGATTAAAAATAACGCATCGGTGTTCGTATTCACGTGATTTCAGAAAACGTGGAGCACCATCTACGACAAATTCCCAAACTGATTAAGATATTTGCCCTAAGTTTAATACTGTCCACAACAGCAGCTTCTGTGGAAAGACTGTTTTCCAAAATGAATTAAGCATGTTCAAAATTAAGGAGCAGTCTTTAAACAAAATCATTCATTTTGTATTTAATGGGCCTGAAAATATAGATAAAATTCAAGTAGATAGTGATCAAGTAGATAAAATTATCACAATATTTGAAAATTTTGCAAATTGCAAGATAGCAATTAAGAAAATTTTTTTAACAATTTTCTACCTATGTGGAGCATTTTATATTATTTATGATTTTATGCTAGGAAATGATTTGTATATCATTAAATTTTAACTGAAATTTTTTTTTATCAAGATAAGCATTATAAAGTAATGTAAACTGTAATTAATTGTTAATATATATCTGTGTATTAATTGTAAATAGTAAGTGTCATGTTAAAAAAGCATTGGTCATAAAGATTAAACAACAATCTTAATAGTTTTTTGTTATTAAGAAAAATAGTTTCTCAAAATTAATGTTTTCTTTCTTTCTTTTTCTTTTCTCTCTCATCCCCTGCCTCTTATAATTTATTTAAAATAAAAAAAAAATTCGAAGTTGAAGTATTTTCTTTACTAAATATTGAATCTTGTTTTAAGCTGAAAGGGTTTTGTTTTAATTTTTACACTTTTTTATAAAAAAAACTTTAAACTTTCTTTAAATCAAAATATTTAACTTGCATTTATTTTTTAAAATTTAATTCTATGAACAAATTTCTTAATGTTAAAATTAACGTTTAGATGAACCTTTGTATTTGATAAAAAAAATAAAAGAAACTACATTTTTCCACTGTTTTTAATTATTTTAATTCATCTGGATTTTTTTTTTTACATTGATTCTGTTTTATTTTCTAAGTAATCAGTTTTTCAGTTTCTAATTGTGAACATTTAAAAGCATTTAATTTTATTATTATGTTCATATTACAAGGTTAACTGATAAAAAGAATTTAGTGTCTAGAGCAATAATGTTTATATATCAATTGCTACCTACAATTGCTATCAACATGTTTGTCTAAATACTTTGGCATGTGGCCCTTTGTTGGTCAATCTTCTGTGCATGTGGCCCGTCATTCAAAAAGGTTGTGCACCCCTACAATAACTTTTGAAATAATTATATATTTTGAAATGGTACGCATTTTTTCCCCTTTTTTTATTATTTTTTCAAATCTTGTCTTGTCTATTATTTTTTGTCTAAAAAGCAGTTATAAGAGTGGTGTTTGCATCTTAAAATGAAACTCCAATTAATTCAAACCTAAAGTTTCAAACATTTAATTTTAAATAGTAATAATATTTTTTAATTTTTTATATTCAGTTAAAAAAATTAACCAGTTTAAAAAATTACCAAAAAAAAAAAATATTTTTGACATGAAATTGAATTTTAATATTTCTTTAAATAACTTTTATAATTTATTAAAATGTGATTTATTTTCATGATTCGGGTTTTATCAAAGTATAAGGAAGAACTTTGATGTAAAAACCATAGAGAGAAAAAAAATGTATTGCTCTCAATATTTGTGAAAAGTCTTCGATACGTTAAGGATGAATTCATTCATTAAAAATTTTCTTTACTCTAATATTATGAGTCTAAATCTAATATTATGATCTCTAAATATTATGAGTTGCCCTGTGGCAGAATCAGATCGACATTGTAGCAGAATTCTTGCTCAAAGATTTTTCTTTTGAAAGGTAAAAATTTTTAGTTTTCTTTTCTGCAGAAATTTACACGTAAAATTTGAATCATGCATTTAGATAATAAATTTTACGGCGATAGTATCCATGTAATGTTTCGATCGTATTTTCGGCAGTTATTGGTTTTTTCACGTGGTTTTTAAATATCCCGATATATTTAAAAAATGTATATGGAAAATTCGAATCTTGCATTTGAGTATTAACCATTTTGAGAAATGAGCCTATTGATTGTTTGGCTGTTATTGCTAATGATTTCTCCATAGTTTTTAAAGCAGATATTATTTATACGATATTATTTATTACTACAACCTAATCTGGAAATGCATTTGAGGAGACTGATTCGCGCGATATCGTTATCAGTTTTTTTACGACGATTACTACTACGGATTTCATGATTTTCAATGATTTTTTTTTTTTTTATTGTGATGATTATTTACAAAATGCGAAGAGGGATATAATGTATGCGTCTCCCCCCTCCCCCCACCGAACAAAACGCGAGAATATCATCCACCCGTAATATTAGAATAAAAAATTATTACATGTTCAAGTAAAAAAAAAAATTTATATAGTTTCTTATTTGCAAACACAGCGCTTTTGTTATTTTAAATTAGTAACATCTATGTTTGTTAATATTAAAAGTATCTTTCAAAAAGATATTAGTGCTAGATAGTCGGAAAATCTCGGAAAAAGAGAAAATCTGTATCGATACGTTTGTTTTATTTGTTGTACGATGTAAATTAGTTTTTATATAAGAACCCTGGTTTCTATTTAATCTAAAAGCGTATTGTAACGCGTCTTCTGAAAAAATAACAGAAAATAAAACCACCGGAGTGAAATCTTTCTTGTGCTGGCAAGATGCCAAAAATATTTTATATCACTTAACCCTTATCATGTCTGATGTCATCAACGACTGTCCTTCTTTTGCTAACAGGTTATTTATAGCTGGTTTCTATAATTTTACTCACCTAAAAATGAAATAAAAAACTTATTCGATTTTTTAAAATCCATAATTTTTTGGAATCTCGTTATATGTAATTGCATAAATTGAAATCCTATTAAAAGAATGTCAAACCCTTTTAACAGTCATAAATTGTCCTAAGAAGTGGAATTACGAAATTTTGCTGACATATATTTTGAAAATAACAAACATTCTTTCACAAAACGCGTCATAAAAGTTCTTAGGATAGAATATTTTTTAAAAACACTTCATCTACGTATTGTACAACGTAGAGTAAGAAACAACTTACTAGCCTATAATTTTTATTCGACCCATTAGAATATCAGTGAGAAAAGTTACATTCTGAATACATTTGTTAGAAAGTCTCTTTAGGATATAATTATGAAAACACGGTTGTAACAGTTTACTGAAAAATCTGTTTTTATTTATCTTTTTTCTTTCTTTTTTTCACTTTGAAACAAACATGTCCTGCACGTTTGTCTGTCAAAAATAAATAATAAAAATAAAGTTATAAATCATAAAGAAGTAAATGAGAACAAATAAATCGAGACAAAACAAGTTATGGTCTCTAACAGCAAATATAATTTGTTATATGTAGTTAAGACCTTAGTTGCTGTGTAATGAAGAGTCAATTAATATCTTCACAGCGGGTGTTTGTTAACAAAAATATAATCTCAAATTCGTAATGAATTAGAAGAAATGCTAGAATATATATGTTTCTTTTTGGTAGTGATAAGTTGGTAGTGTTAGTGTTAAGATGATAGTTTGGTAGTGTTTAAAGTGATACTTATAATATCACTTTAAAAGCGAAAATGCTTGTGTTGAAATGCAAAAAACTAAGTGAAAAGGCTTATTTTTTGTTAGGCTCATAATTTTCACATTTAAGTAAGAAAGAAAAAATATTGAGAAACATTTAGGAAAGCCTCTAACATTAGGAAAACACGAGATTGCCTTTTTCTCAAAGAAATATATTTGTAAGATGAACTTAATCTCGCTGCTCGAGCAGTATGGTGACACGAACTTAAGATGGTGCATGGCAGTGTTTTCATTACAGAAAAAAAATGGGAGAGAATTTCTCAACCTTTCTCTTAAACAGGGTGAGATTTCTAAAAATTAAAAATACACTAGAAAAAAAAATATTTCTTTAATTATAATCCATTTTCTAAACCATTGAATATTTTTGCTACATCATCATATAGAAAATATTCTATATCTACATTATCTGTTATTCTCATTAGGTTGCTCAAATGCTCATCAGTCAACCTGTTACGATATTTTGTTTTAATTCGATTTTGGGTGCTAAATGACCTTGCAACAGATGCTGAACTATTCGGAATAACTATTTAAATTTGTAGCATTGTGCACACACTTTCCTATCCTCTGCCAGCATAGGCTTTTCAATTATCTCTGTTATAGAATAGTGAAGTTCGTTGAAGTTATTTCTATGTTCATACTTCTTGCTAGGTCTTTCAACATAGTTTTCACAGACTTAACTTTTACAAATTGCTGTAAATTGTCGGTGAGGGAGTTTGGTAATTCATTAACAGCTAAAAATAGAGCTAATTTTAAACAACTTATTATAAAGGACTTATTTTTTTCTCTCAACACTTATCCTAGCTGTTTTCCTGTCTTTTTCAAAATGGCGGAAGACGAAATTTTTTCCAAAATTCGAGCTTTTTAAAATTGATTAATAGAGTGCGCGAATTTCTCGCGTTAATCATTTTTTAATGCGAGAAATTAAAAAAAAAATATGCGAGATTCTCGCGTTCTCGCGCTGTAGTGAAAACACTGCATGGCTTCCAGCAAGAATAAACAGGAATAAACAAGAATAAACAAATAAAGACTTCCAAAAAAAGCGAGTTCTCTCTAAAGCTAGCAACCATGTCACCTTTTTTAAGAATACATCTAAATTTTCACTTCAAACTCCCCAGAATTACTTAATATCATGAATATCGTATGAAATACAGCAAGTTTTAGCTCAAAAATTTTATTTCTTTAATTTGAAATAAAATTATCTGTTTGAAAATATCGCCTCGCAGAATAAGTTTTAGTAAGCAGCTGTATACTTTCTACCTGGAAGTAGAGCAGGTCAAGAGCTGAAGATTATTGTTGTTTACATTCATATTAAAGACACCATCCATATAGAAATATCTACTTAAAATAATTTGTTTATTTACTACCCATTGGCAAAATGGGTCTTGGTTTGGCTTTGATGGCGTCCACACACTTTTCTACTGTGTTCAAGAGTAATCATCTGCCGTCATTGCATGCGTTGCTATGGCGACCGCTGCTGTTTTTATTTTTATTTTCAGTAGCAGGAATTTTTAATGTATTTACGTAATAATAATTTAAAGTATTTTTATATTCTTTTTATTATTAACGTATAATTATTGTCATGACGGTGATTTCAATATAAACATGAATGCTAAAGAAGGAAAAGTATTGAAACACGTACAGGATATGAAAATCAATCCGATGACAAACATCCATTGAGACAGTTTTTGCAACCCATGATTTGAATTGTTTAACGGAGTCCATCCAGAAAGAAAAAACATTTGACCCATGGGTAACCCAGTGATCGTAACATGACGATCACAACTTTTTTGTTTTATTTGTTTATTAATTATTATTATTATATTAACTCTTTCTAAGCACTTAACTGATCATAATACTTTGACACAAGAATGCAAAAAATTTTTTTTACTGACCAGGTAAATTTCTTTTTCTAACGTTTTAGTTTAGGTAAACAAAAAGTTCCAAGATTCCATTCTTTTTTCACGGTATTTGTTGTAAAACAATCATTTGTTATTGAATTGTCTTATTTTAATTGCAGCTCCTCCCAAGTGGTTGAAAGAACCTCAAGATTCATCTGTTGGACTGGAAGGACGGGTCAGCCTAGATTGTGAAGTCCGTGGACATCCAAGACCTACCATCCGATGGTTCCGCTTTGACGGTTCGTAGTCATTTATTCTCTGCTGCTGCCGCAAACACATAATTGGCCAGAACTTTACTTGCACAAAGATTTTTCTTTTGAGAAGTAAAAAAAAAAAATTGATTTGCAGAAATTTTGCACATAAAATTTGAATCACGCATTTAAATAATAACTTTTCGAAATGCTCAAATTACATAATATTTACAAAATTTTAAAACTGCTGTTGTTTAGAAAAGTGCCGCAATCATTGTACAAATCTTGCATTATGAGGACTTTATACCATTCACGGAAAGCTCTGTTTACAAATAATTTAATATAGTAAACTTAAGAGTAAACCACGATGTCAAAAAGCAAACAAATATTAAAATGACAACAAATTATGTCAGAATTGCACAGCAGGGAAGTTATCTTGCAATGATTTGTTTGCATTTTGATGTTTCGAAATTTTTTCTGTTTTCTTTCAGCATTTGAATTTCATGGTATATTTCGATTCATTTTTTTTCTTCCTTCTAAACTTTAAATACTAATGCACCAACGGAGGTAAAACCCCAGCGGTCTAGCATCCTCTTAAACTATAACAAGGTTCGTAGCATTTTAAAAAAGTGCTTGAAAGTGCTTTTTCTATTGGGGATTTGTAAAAAGTGCTTAATCTCTCAAAATGAGTTTTCTTTTTTTTCCCTTTGCCCTGTCAATTGTCGTCATAAATTACAATAAAAGCATGATCTTCTCTATCTTCTTTTTAATATTCATCAGAAACTAGTTATTTTATCATCAGCGGTCTGTCCAGACATTTTGTGAAGGGTCCGTTTTTGTAAAATTGTGAAAAAATTACTCTTTGTGAATATAAAATAAACGTTGAGTCACATTCTTTCAACCAGGGTCCGCTTTTGTGAATTTGTGCAAATAGGGTCCGTTATTGCAAAAAAAACTTCTTCAAGGAGCTTTTAAATCGTAAAGACATACAAGATTATGCTGAACACTGTAAAATTATAATTAAAAAAATTAAATTTTAAAAAATAAACAACAATTGCTGCTTCTAAATTAGAGATGCAACATACAAATATTTGGTATTTAGCCTATACTGCTGAACGCAGAATATTCATTTCGGACGAATAAAGGAAGAAGCGTCTGCCGAAGACAAAATTTAGTTCGTTTACATCTGTCTTCCTCCCCCCCCCCTTCCTGGAAAGGGTTTATTCGATTAACAAAACAATAGTGAAGATAAACAAATTTGTGCAGGGTCCGTTTTTATGAAAAGATATTTTGTGAAGGGTTCGTTAACGGACCCTGATCATGATTGTGTAAAGTCTTGGAAAATGTTTTTGCATTTTACTGATTTTATGTTTATAAATTAAGAGCTTAAAACAATCGAAGGAAATAATATTTATTGCTGCATATATCCTTATTATGATTTTTGTTATAAAGTGCTTGAAAGGTTGAAGGGTATAATGTGGTGATTGAAAGGTATGATAGGATGTGGGTTTTTTTTTTCAGGTGAAGATCGGATACCATTGAAGCCATCTTGGAAGAGATTCGAGGTGGCTGAAAATGGTTCCCTCATCATCCGAGACGTGAAACCAGAAGACGCGGCCACCTACGAATGCAAAGCAGCTAACGACATCGGTGCGGCCATCAGCAAGAAGATAGCTCTGAGTGTACACGGTACTCATTATTCCTTTACACTTTTAATTTTAAACACAGCCACGCTATATTGTGCACAAAGTTGATTGTGCACAAAGTTAAAAGGCATATATGGATAGTGTTTTCGATATAAATGTAAACAATAACAATCTCTTGACCTCCTCTACTTCCGGTTAAAAAGTATACAGCTGCTTACAACAGCTTTTTCTGCTAGCCGATGTTTTCTAACAGATAATTTTATTTTAAACAAAAGAAATAAATTGTGTAATTTCTGGGCTCAAATCTGCTGTATTTCGTAAGATGTGAATGATATGAAGTCATTCTGGTGAGTTTGAAGTAAAATTTTGTTTTAGTTATTTAGAGAAGTAATTTCTTTAGAGAGGCAGTCCTATTTTATTAAAGTATAAAATGTTTTTATCCTGTTCTTATTATGGTTTTCTTTCAAAAAATGAAAGAAAATACATCATTTCTAGAGCGAATTATCTTTTACACTTCTGTGATTTCAGAATTTTTATTATTTATTTATTTTTTTTTTATCTATATAAAATTCTAACTGAAATAAGCCAATCATTCGCGAGTTTTTTTTATTTTTTTTTATTCAGAAATGAGTACAGAAAAATCAGGAGTATTTCTTTCCTTTCGCATGAACAAGAAAAGTATCTTTAAAATATAATTCTGCAGAAAAAAATCATTATTTGCTTCTGTATTTTTTTTAGCTATTTTATTGCTTCAACTCTTTCTTTACTCTGTTTTTTAAATTTTAAATTTATAAATATGAAAATGCAGAGTATAACAATTTTGGTTATACCTATCATTTCAATGAATGTTATTATGATGCTTTTTTAAATTTATTGCTATGTTTCTGTCTGAGAAAATAGTAACTTCGTTAAGACCTGAAAAATTCTTGGAATTAGTCATGAAAAGTCATGGATTTGGAAATGTAGAAGGTACCCTTTAATAAATGAAACAGAAGAAATAAGAAAACATTTCAAAAATAACTCATAATAAATAACAAAACTTTCATTTTTATAGGATATTTTTTTTGGATGAGTGTTCTCAAACAATCGAAAACATGATTCGAAATTGCAAGAAATTTATTATTATTTTATAGCATAAACGGCGTTGCATCTTTCTTCTTTTTTATTTCTATCCTAGGTGTGTGCGTTACGGAAGAAATTTCATTATCTACGTTAAATCAATATTTCTTACTCTTCCTTCCACCCCTCTCCCGATATGAGCCTGCCTCGAGTATGACGTCACTTTTACAATCGATGACGTTTTAGAGATGGGAGTAGTGGGATGAGAAAGGAGCGTTAACTTTGTAGCTGTCTCATTTGAAACAAAATGTCTCTTTTTCATCTGAATGTTTTTCCCCTTTCTATTTCATTGATAAATCAAACATTTTTTTATGATTCGGTTTATTTAGTTATAGTTTTGAAAGTCTACTATTTTATACTTTGAAATACTACTATATAACTAAACAGTTTTCCGAGACAAAACATTATTATTTTTTTTTTAAACTGGTATCTCTTTAACCACGATGCGATGTTCGGATATTATGGATAATGGTTACAAGGGGATATGAATTATTACTGTTTGCACGAAATTGTTTGGCTTCAGCTTTTTTTTAAAAATAAAAAAATTATAATAAATAAGTAAAAATAAGAAACACTCTAATTATAAAAAGAGAAAAGTTTCGATTTTTCTTACCACTAACAAGACAATTTTTCACGACAAAACATTATTATTTTTTAAACTAGTATAATCTCTTTAAACACGATGCGATGTTTGGATATTATAGATCAATGTTAATATAGGGGAATATGAATTATAACAGGTTAACATGATATTGTTTGGCTTCAGCTGCTTTTGTTTGTTGTTTTTTTTAAAATAATTATAAATAAATAAAAATTTAAAAAAAAAACACTCTAAGTATAAAAGGAGAAAAGTTTTGATTTAACCTGCAACTAACTAGACAATTTTTCAAGGCGCAACATTATTATTTTTCTTTAAAAAAAAAAAAAATTGGTATAATATCTTTAACCAGGATGCGATGTTTGGATATTACGGGTCATTGTTACAAGGGAATATGAATTATAACAGTTTGCATAAAATTGTTTGGCTTTAGCTTTTTTTTCCCGTGGCAGAATCGCAGTGACATGGTCGTAGAACGTTACAGGCATCTTGCTGAAAGATTTTTCTTTTGAAAGGTAAAAAAATTTAATTTTCTTTTCTGCAGAAATTTACACGTAAAATTTGAATCATGCATTTAGATAATCAATTTTTGGTGCTCTCAATTTACGGCGATAGTATCGTAAATCCATGTAATGTTTCGATCGTATTTTCGGCAGTTATTGATTTTCTCACGTGGTTTTTAAGTATCCGGATATATTTCAAGCAATATGAAAAATTTGAATCGTGCATTTGTGTATTTAATTTGTAAGGCAATGATCATTCTATCGATTTTTTTGGTTGTTATTGCTATCCATAGTTTTTTTAATTTGATCTTTTTTTGTGCGATATAATTTAATACAACAACCTAATCTCGTCCGACTCGCGTGATTTCGTCGTCGATCTTTTTTTCGACAATTTTTTACTACTCGGATTTCGTGATTATTAGTTATTTTTTTAGTGTGACAATTATTTACAAAATGTAAAGAAAGAAATAACTTGTGCTTCCCCCCCCCTCTGCAACAAAATACGTAAATATTACCCATAGTATTTGAGTAAAAAATTATTACATTCTTATTTTAGAAAGTTATAAATAGATTTTTTTTTTCTTGTAAACATAGCGATTTTGTCATTTTAAATTAGTTACTTATGTTTGTTATTATTAAAAGTACCTCGCAGAAAGATATTAGTGCCAGAGAGTTTTCTCACAAATACCTTGAAAAAACTCTGCAACAGGGCTCTAAATGTAAAAATTGAAAATTTTCGATTTTTGTTTTCTCCTTGACTTACATATTTTTCGTAATCGTGGCCCATTGCGTACAAACAAAGCACTTTGGAATTTTTATTACTAATTTTTTCTCCTAATGGCTAAGTGACTTTTTTCTTTAAAAGCCATTATTTTTAGGGGTGTTTTTTTTTCATAAAATAATTTGAAAAACCCTCAATGAGTTGATGTCTCGATTTTTTCCCCTCTAAATTTATAAATCTGTCATCCCAGAATCTGTTATTATAAAAATAAATAATTTTTTTTTAAAATTTAATCAAAAAAGAAAACTAATTCTTAATTACCAAACAACCCAGTGTGTTCATTATGAGGATATGACGTAATTGTTCGTTGTTTTCAACCACAGAGAAAAGTGTTACGTCACTCTAAGTTTGTCTACTGTCTGCTTACACAGAAAGGGGTGGTCAACATTTTTGAAAGAAGGCCAAAAACAATTACGTACCACTTCCAATATTTTCGTACTAAAAAATTTATGAAGATAAGAAATGTTATTTTTAAACTGATTATAGAATGTTCAGATAAATAGCGCATTTTTTTTTTTAATTAGCAAATCTAAGTAAGGAAGATTTAAACAATAATGTAACATACAAAATAAGAGCTTTAACTTGGGTTTTTTAAATGAAGTTAGTTGTGTCAGTTCAGTCAGTATGTAATAAAATAAAAATGAGTGTCTTAAAAAATTTAATTGTGAACAATAATTAAACAGTCGTTAATGTGGCTTTGGAAATTTTTTTTTAATATCGGGTTTCGTGTTAGATTTAGCGCTTAGTTTTCAGTGGTTTATAATTTGTTTTGTTTTTTAAATGCAGGGACAGAGCGAGATCTCGAAGAAGGCAACTCAATCTTATGATTCGCCTACGCACTTAAGCAGTGCCGCTTCCCTTCGCTGTTACATTTTTATTCTTTATTCTTTTGCTTTAAAACGCAATTAAATTTTTTAAGAGAATTTATTGCTTTCATTTTTTTTTTTTTTTTTTTTTTTTTTTTTTGCTTGGCCCTTTTTTTATTTATATCCTTTTTTGTTGAAAATTCATTCTAAATGTTGTTGTTGTAGTTCATTTACGTCGCACTTGAACTGCACAATGGGCTATTGACGACTGTCTGGGAAACATCCCTAAGGATGAACTGAAGACATGCCATCACAATTTTGATCCTCTGCAGAGGGGACGGCACCCCTGCTTCGGTAGCCCGACGACCTGCACGCAAAGTCGAGCACTTTACGGTAGAATAGTTTAACGAGGATCCATACCGCACATCCTCGATCCCTACTCAAACTGATCCAAGTGGTCATCCACCCGCAAACTGACCGCATGCTTGACTTCAGTGATCTGCTAGGAACAGTGTCTTAACGATCCGTCCACTGCGGGACTCATTAGAAATTGAGTAGTAGTAATACTTAATTTGCGTCCCACTAAGACTGCACAATTCGTGATTGCATATTGAAAACGCAATCTGTGGAGAAAACCGATTCCGTGACTTGCAGCCCCCCCCGTTTCCCTCTACTCCTTTTCTCAGTTATATAGGAATGTACTATGATATTTTCCCCGTAATATTTTTCATATTTAACTAATAAAAATATTTTTTAAAATTTCCACAACTCTTTATTCTAGAACTATATTCAGTGTAGTTTTCAGTTTCATATAGTTTTATAATCCGAAAATTTTCAATCTATTTGAAAATCAAAACAAGAACTGACGTACTTCCTTCTCCTATGACTCTCCACACGCTACTGGTGAAAGCATGCGAAGTGTTGCCATAGGTTCTGCTCTACGCCATCTGTAGCCCATATATATTTTGGCGACAATTCGGGAAACATCCGGGATGATGATACGATGGCAATTTTGATCCTCTGCAAAGGGGATGCCCATCCACCCATCACGATGTGGTGGTGGCTTTGCAACCTGAGCACCTAACGATAAAATAGTTTAAAGAGGACTGATACCGCTCATGGTCGGTCTCTTCGCAGACTGAGCAAAGTGATAAACCACTTGCTCACTGACAGCAACCAGCGATTTTTCAGTTTGGTGATTTACTAGGAACAGTGTCATAAGGACCATTTCTATTGCGCATTCTCATTTTTTCTCGACGGCGGTAGGAGGTGCGTGAATCACATGCAATGAAAATGACCTTATGTGTCGTAAGTAAAGCACGACTGCTACTAGTAGGTGGGAAGGAGACTACCCACACTCAAATCTTGAGGACAGTCCTCGAATTTTATTAATAATTCTCAAAAACTTTCTAACTCTTAAAGGACAGAAAATTTTCCCGAATTTTAATATGTGTCCTCGAATTTCTCGGAAAACATTTGATGTCTTTTATGTGCAGTTAAATATCAAAAAGAAAAAGAAATCAGAAACACACTTTTTTTCTTTAAAAGAAAAGAACACGATAATTTCGTCTTACAGAAAATACAAAGACGCGTCATGCTGAAGCAAACCTACGAAAATGCCAAACACGTTATAAAATAATTCAGCAAAAAATAAACATATTGTAATAATCATGTTCTCATTCATTTTACATGTCTTCAAAGGCAAAATATGATATACACTGCTCAAAACAATTAAAGGATATTGAGGTTGTGGGTTTATCTTGCACCACTTGGAGTTTTTTTTTTTTTTTTTTTTTTTTTTTTTTTTTTTTTTGAATGATTGATACATTATCGACAAGCGTCGTAGGCTATATGAGATAAAAATGACATTTGTTTAGCAGAAAAAAATTCGTTTTATTGAGCAATTTTGTACAAAAGGAAGGAAAAAAAAACAGATTTTGTGCATATGAGAAAAACAAATAAAAAAAGTGTTTCTATTTATGAGGATCTGGGGTATTCTGCCCCACTCCTCCAGATGAGCTCTTTCCTGTTCTTGGAGAGTTTGCTAGGGGGTAGGCGACCAGCAATTCGTCTGCCTAGAATGTCCCAAACATGTCCGGGAAACACGTTGGCCAATCCATTCGTGTGATTCTTTCCTCCAAAAGGAAATCATTCACCAAGTTTAGCCGATGTGGCCTGCAATTGCCATCCATTAACATGAAGTCATCTCCAGTTGCTGCAGCTTAAGGGACTACAATAGGTCTCAGGATCTCATCCCTATATCGGTGACCGGCCGGATCTCCATTTCGAATGATATCGAGCTCGGTGCGCCTATCAATAGAAATGTTAGCATTGACCATCACTCCCCCACCACCAAATTTTACTCTTTCGTGCTCAAACGCAGGATTGTTTCTAGTGCTACGTTCCCTCCCGGATGAAAATACGCCTATTATCAGGACAAACGGGACTAGTCAGAGAAAAGAAAATTGCGTCACTCACATGCCCTGTCTCCCGCGACGGTGTCGTGCTATTAATGGGATCCACACCATTGATCAACGAGCATACAGATCTACAGCGTGAAGGTGGTTTCGGACAGTTTGTGTCGAAACTGTGGTGCCAGTAGTTGCTGCACGTCTACGCCCTTAGCCTGATTTTCGGCCTGCATTTCCAGTCTCCAAAAAACGGTTCCAGCTGATCCTGTGAATCATATTTTGTGAAACTCCAATGACTTCGGCTTGTGTTTGGTCCCCCTCTAACCGGCCAACAACTATCCAAGCTTCTAATTCGGTAAAGTGACTTCGTTGAGACATCGAACTCCTACAAACAGAGCGCTTACTGAATCTTGATTATTCTTTTCCGCTTTGTCTAACATTAAGTTGAGAGTCAAATCAAATTCGCTAGCACTAAAACGTCGTCTTCGACGTATACTCAAAATTTGCATACTGCGAAGTTTGAAAATAGGAAAACTTTGCATTTGTGACTATCTTCTTCCATTTTATGCACACACAAAAAAATTGCTTACGTCGTTATTTAATACAAGACTTACAATACCCTTTAAATGTTTTGGACAGTGTATTTAAAAACTGTTTATTCTCACAGCTTTTCTTGAACCGATTTTCTGGACGTTTAAGATTTCTTAACTTATTAGTGGAAACAGGATATTTATAATAAAATCAAGTTTGATGAAGATGGTTTTGATTTCTAACTTTTGATAGATCGTAACTGCAAAGCGTGGAAAAGAAGTAAATCAGTGTTTATTTTTAATAAAAACAATTCATTTTTTATTATTAGTATCTTATATACGCGTTTTTCTTTTCTTTTAGTGAAGCTGATTTCTTATTCATAACTTTCGTGGGGTTATTTCCGTATCGGTGCTGGCTCACGTCATGTGATATTTTTTTTTTTTAATTTTCTGAATTTCCAGTGCTTCGAAATTGACAGAACTTGATTATTTTGGTACCTAAGCTGAAATTTTCTCACTGCCTTCAGTTCAAATTAAAAAATTTCGAGGAATAATCCCTATTTAATAATTTAGGATTTCTTATTTTGATTTTTAAAGCTTATTACTTTATGGTGAAAATGTTTATCTTTAGTTCTAATTAAAGTGTCACTTAGCATTCCTTACAGCGGCGAGTCTGTGAATAATTTCTCACCTTTATTTCGGTTTTTGTAAGGATATTTCCGTGTTGTAATCTGTTACGCCAACTACAACTGCTATGGCACCAAATAGATTGCAATTTTGCTGGAAGGACAGGACAGAAGGAGTAGGACATGTGATTTTTTTAGAATAATTCAGCGTAAACCAAGACAATTTCCGCGAATCAAAACTTATAATCTGGCGAAATTTTCATCGCAAACTAAAATGTAAAGCAAGTCTAAGATTTTAAGTATGAATTTAGAGTTCTGCAATCTAAAATTTAAATTTTGAAACTACGTGTGGAGGTCGCTAATATTGCGGTATATCAAGCATCGATTTTAGTATTTCCCTGATTTAAAAACCACACATTATGAATAGTATTCACGCGATTTAAAAATTGTGCATCGTGATTCGCATTTACGTGATTTCAAAATCCAGTGTCGCGATTTGTATTTACNTGATTGTTTCGATTTACGCCCGTTTCTTTTTGGGTTTTTTTTAAAGCTAAAACTGTTTATAAAAAGTTTTTCTTTTTCAGTATTATCATTGATTGGATATGAATTTTTTTAATGCTTGAAAATTTTTGTAAAGTGCTTGAAAAGTTTTTAGAAAGTGCTTATTTTTGATTCTAAGATTTGGCTACGCACCCTGGAATAGTATTCACGCGATTTAAAAATCGTCCATCGCGATTCGTATTCACTTGATTTAAAAATCTTGCATCGTGATTCGCATTTACGTGATTTCAAAATCCAGTGTCGCGATTTGTATTTACACTATTTTAAAATCCAATATCACGATTATTGTAAGAACTAAGTTTTTTCTTAAATTAGTTACTATAAACGCTTGTTATTCTTCTTGAGTCGGTAATTTAATTATAAAGCTTAGTTCAAAAAATAATATTAAATGCAAATAATATACAAATTGATATCTTGTTTGCACGTTTTTGTACGTAAAGTCTTCGGGGTTTTTCTCTTGGTGTTGCAATCAAACCTGTGGCTACGATTTATTACACTTTAAGTTGCAAAGGGGAGGCTTGGTGATTATTCAGCCTCAAATCACGTTAGGGAACTATTCCCATTGTTTCCTCTTCTCCCCCTGAAAATAAAGCTTATTATTCAAATTATTGAATTGCTGTTTCTTAAAAATGTTTGAAATAAAAGGAATTGAAAGAAGCAATCATGCACATTTATATTTACAACTAATTAAAAAAAAACTAAGTAAAATAAAATTTAAAAAAACATCACAAGATCTGTAGGAAAGATTTTTTTTTTATAATTACGTCCTTCAGTTACTCTTTCGAGCATGAGAAGTCTTGTAATCCAACACAAATAAGAAGTATCTCCGGGAGTGGAGAGTATCTTGAAATAAAAAGAACTATGAGGATCTTTGAGGATGAAACAAAATGAAGACGCTCGCCATTCATCTTTAATTATTTGTTACACAAAATGCAGTCAGGAGAGTAAGCAGGATGTGTCTGAAGGTAGTCATCTCCAGTGAGCAATCCAAAGGATGAGACTCCAATAGCTCTAGTAAGCCTTTTCGGAAGACAAGATGTTAGAAGGCCCTACCAAGATTTACCGACAGCTTGATCTCTGTTGGAGGTTTTGGATTTTTTGTTTTATTTGGAGTTGGATATTTCTCAGGTTAGCAGAGTCAAGGAAGGTTGCCTCTTTTGTGAGATCATCTGCATTTTCATTTCCACACAAGCCACAATGGCTGGGAATCCATTGAAGAAAATGGCAGTTTTATAATTGAATTCAATGGCTGTAGGACGAGATTGCATAATTTGAGATAGTGTGTATTGCAGCTTGACAATCTATAAAGAGGACACAATTCTCCTCAGGTCTCTCCAAGATCTCTTAAAGAGCGAGGTAAATGGCAAAAAATTTCTCTGTTGCTATTATCTGAGTTAAAGGCTCTTTAAATTGAAAAGATGCCAGCACCGGCTCATCCAGTAGGTCACTCAGCTGAGCCATCTGTGTGTGCCCAATTGTTACTAGGGTATCTTTCATTGTTGGGGGCAAAGGCTTTGAGTTCTGCCAGATACTTCTTTTTATTTTTTTTTAAAGCATTTACGGCTTGTAACTGCATTTTAAGTATTGCTGTATAGGTTTTAATAACTTTTTATTTCTGTGGGTTCAACCACCTTCGAGAAGGGAGGTTTGACCTAGTTTGTACACTCTTGGAAAATCATTGATAAAAAATGTAAATTATAATTTAGGTGGAAAGAAATAACATAAACAGATGACAAATATTGTAATCTATCAAATGATAATTTTATAATACACAAAAAAATATATATATTTTTGTAAAAAACTGGTCAAACCTCCCATGTTCCCGAATTTGTTTTTTTCTATCAATAGATGAAATCTTTATAATTGTGCATATTGATAAATGGATAAAGATATTATCATCTGCTCAATATCAGAAACAATTATTTTTGTTTAAACATTTGAAGCACAAATTCATTTTACTTCAGCATCGAATTTCATACTTTTTAAAAATTTAGAATGTTTTAAATGGCTTATATAATTTTAAGTACGGTTATATTAACCTAAAAATTTGGAAGTCCTTTAGTTTTCTCTGAATGAAGAAACTAATTGTGTGTGTATATTTCAGTTCCTGCTCGTTTTGAAGAAAAGTTTAAAGTGGAGAGTGTGAGATGGGGAGAGACGGCCATACTTCGGTGTGAATCCCTGGGTGACAATCCCATCAGTATAACTTGGACCAAGAATGAAGCACCAGTCTCTGAGAAAGAAAGCTCCAGGTATACTTGTGGTTTTCACTTTTATGAGAATTCCTTAACAGATTCCCTGATTATCCCGAATTAACTCGGGTATGTATTTATTGCAAATATTTATTATCCCGAGTAAACTCGGGCACAGCCGAATTCGTCAATATATTTTGTTTTATCACGTTTTTACTCTGCCGGAAGCAAAATAAAAAAATAATAATAATCTGCATTGATTGGAAGTGTGCCAATTTTCGTTTGCGAGTGTTGCTGTTTGGGGGACTGCAGGCGTGTTTTATGCAATTGTATATATTGTTGTTGAATTTATATAGAAAAACGAGCGAAAGTGAATGTAATGTAGATGATGTGAACTTATACAAAGACTAATATTTAACTTTTTTCATTTGCCCTAGATAGTTTGGGATAGTAAACGGATGGTAAAATAAACATGTTTTACACAAAAAAAAATTCAAATTTTAATTTAACTTGTGTTTTATGTTTTGTTTTAGTTCCCTGTATTTATTAATGAAAGAAAAAAATATGTTGATTTTTGCATTTTTTTTCTTCAAAAAAATTGATAAGGGAAACGGTTAATTACCACTTTTTGTGTAACGATCACTACAGTAATCTATTCCAATTCAGTAGTATATAAGATGTGTTAACTCGATTCTATCTTGAGGTACCTTTAGATAGATGAAGGTCGACATTGTTCATAACTCCTTCCGACATTGTTGACCTTCGGACTAGATCTGAACACGTCTATCTTGACAGTAGCGCCGACTTTGATTTAAACATACCTACTTTGAGGGAAAATAAACATTGAACAGTTGACTTGCTATTGGTGACAGCGTCCTCACACTGTTGCTACTCAGTCTTGATCATACACCGCTGGAGCTCATGCACACTTGATTGCTAATCGCTACACTTACACTGGAATGACCACATACACAGCCGTAAACTTAATACAGCTCTCACGACCTGAGCTCCAAATTCAGTGAACTTAATACAGCTCTCCTGGTCTTTCACAAAATGGCAATGAATCAATTAGTGCTGTCCATTTATCGAATTCTGTCCTAGATAAAATTCTGGTGGGAGGGTAATGTAGTGTAACTACCACTACAATAATCTATTTTATTTCTCTAGTATATAAGACGTGTTAACTCTATTTTATCTTGAGGCACCTTTAGATAGATGAAGGTTGGCATTGTTTTATATCCGAATGAATTGGAATAGATTATTGTAGTGGTAGTTACACTTTAACTCCTCTTCCCACACACGTGTTAATTTTATGTTCTGTATCAATAACATTTAAGGGTGCTTAAAATGGCATTTAGCTATCCCCATTTTAATGATTTTTCTTTTACTTTTCAATGCAATATTAACTCCTTTTTAAAAGTTAACTTCCTGCTGTGCGAGTAAAAAACCTTTCAGAACATCTTTAAACCCTTGCTAGTGTCACCCAAATCCAGTTCGAACAACTACTTTGTGCATTATTTGTGATGTCCGAACTGACTTCGGGCAGGAGAAAAATTATTGTTTCGATTTTCTGAAGTTCGAGCTGGGTTCGTTTTTTCTTTAGGATTCTTAATTGACTACTTTCCTAAAAGATGGCATTAGTGGTCCTAGTTTTTCACCGATTACGACTTCAGTCCAGGGAGGGAAATGTGCGTGGGAGTTTTGGCATATACTATACTATGAAAGATTTGTAAAATTTGTGTATTGAAAATCATATTGTTGTGTTTTTATATTATATTATACCAATTATATTATATTTAGCTTCAAAATTTTGCTTAATTTGGTCTAATTAAATAAGATGTGTGTGTAATCCATTACTTTTTTATGTGTTTGTAAAAATCATAAATACAGTTGTTATTGCATTTGAAATTTTATTTTTGTAATAAAAAACCATTTGCTAACTTTTATAATAATATAAAGAACAAAATTAAACAGTCAAAGAAAATTTCAATTTTTAGTCCATTTTTCTGAAATGTATGTCACTGTTAAAGGGGTTAAACACTTATTTCTATGTTGTTTCCATTCAATGATAAACCAAACATTCTTATTTGTTAAAAATCCAATTAACTTTTAGAAAACAATTCTATTTTTTTTCTAAATGCATTCGCCAACACTTCTATTTTAAAAGCTAATTACCTACAAATTAAAATTCTCTACATATTTCCCAATGTTAATTTTTTTTTTTTTAAATATTGTTTAATTTTTTTTCCTATTTACTTTGGAATAATTATTTTTCTAGCATTAATCTTTTTTCTTTATGTACAGATTTAGCTTTTTTAAGTGTTCTTAACAATGCATGAAAAAAGATTAATGCGTCTAGCAATTACATAAACATCCGATTGTGACTATTAATTGCAGAAAAAGTTCTAAATCAATAAGATACTGTGTAAAGACAATAATTAGTCTTTGATTTTACATTTTTGAAAGTATTTAATATTATTCATTTTTATGTCATGTTTTTTTTTTTTTAATTATCCATCTATGTATATGTATATAAAGCACAAAAATAGCAACAAAAAAAACGAAGAAAATTAATAAGTGTTATTTACTGTGCATAAGATGCAAGTATATAGAACTCATAAAATAAGTTAAAAATATAGACAAAATATGAAGAAAAAAAATTGATATTTAATATTGTTTAATTTTAATATTTTATCTCGATTTTAGAATTTATTAAACAAAATAAAATTAATTCTATTGTGACTTTTGATTTCCATCGCTTTAATAGCGTTCCCCTTTCAAAACTAAAAGATGTTCTTTTGAGTTATTGCAATAATTTTAAAAATATCCTTAATTGCGATTTTGATTATTGGGAAAATCTAGTTAATTTTTGTCTTTTTAGTAATTATCTTTCCAATGGAAATACTGTTTTTACTCAAATTGATGCAGTACCACAAGGGTCTAATTTTTCCATCTCTCTTAGCTAACTTATTTTTACACTATTATGAAAAAGATTATACTCTTAATATTAAATTTGTTTTCAGATTTATTGACTATTTAATTATCTTTAATTTTCAAGATTATACATTTTCGTTAAATAATATTTGCACCAAGCAATTAATCCTGCTTTCGTTAAATAATATCCTTAATTAATCAATATGATTATATTAATTTAATTTTTTGGATTTAGGTATTAAAAAAGAAAATATCTGCTTTGTTTATTTATACGATCAAATTAATTTAATTATTTTTATTTTAATATGAATAAACTATTAATCAAATGACTAGAATTAAAAGAATGTTTATTAATGTGTATTTATCCAAAAAAAAAAAAAAAAAAACAATCAACAAACTACTTCAAAATTTGATTTAAAAAAACAATGGATACCCAACTTATGTGATTAAGTTCTAGTTAAAATCATTGAGTTAATTGTATGTTATTTTTAATAAATTTACAAAAAACTTATTTGTTAATTTATATTTATACCATGTGCAAATCCAATTAAGGCAAATATGCGCAAAACGGGAAAATCATGTTTCTTTTTTTAAATAAATGATAATTTTCTAAAATCATTAAAATTGTATGGTTAAATATAAACTTTATTAATTATGAACTTTAAATTATCCAGTATAATATTATCTTGCGCGTATTTTGATATTGATTTTGTTTTTCTTATTTCAAGTTCGTGTTCTCTAACATGGTTCAAAAACTTTTATTCTCTGTAAATTATAATTCAAATTTTCTTTTTTGACAGATGATTAAGAAATGAAAAATACTATATTTTTTCATGAAATAATTCTCTAGTAAGCAAATTTTAAGTTTCCATGCAAGAAATTTGTGCAAAGATAAACCATAAGTAAATTCAAACATTCAAGGATCTAAGTTTTACCTAAATTAAGGATGTTTATCAATTGGTATTATTCGAAAGAAGTCAAGAGGTGCCTAGCCCACTTGAAAAGTTTCATTAACTGTCTTAGAATAATTTCATCAGTTACAATTTTAAATAACTAACTGCATCCGGCTTGCACCGACCACAGGGCTGACTTAAAGTATCCTCAGTGGTAGACGGATCACGGGTTAGAGTCCCCTTGCCGTCAGGCTAACCTTGGAAACTTTTCATGATTTTCCTCTCCATGTAACACAAATGCGCATTCGATTAATCAAAAAGTTCTCCACGAAGACAAATTTCTCCCAATACTTGATCCAGGAGTTCCCTTGTCTTCTGGATTGGGTTAAAAAATGCAAGGCTACGGAGTTGAACATCAGTAGTCATAAACCCAAAATTGTTCTTCTGTTCAACAAGGGTTATAAAATAAAATAACATAGTTAAAAGTCATTGTAGACCCTGAAGAAATTTCCATGGTTATGTCAATCATCACTTCAGTATCTCTGATTTTTGTACCTTTTTTAAGGATTATGATTGCTCCCTATTTTGACTAAAGATATGTTTATTCAAAATGTTCCTGTGTTAAAATACGTGTTATTTCATTTAAATGGAGAAAAATATTTATATTTTCAGATATGAGGTATACGATAGCTCAACTGAAACAGGTGCCACTTCAGAACTGCATGTACAAGTGACGGACCGCGAAGACAATGGATTATTTGTTTGTATTGCAAAGAATGCGTTTGGTAAAGACGAACGAACTCTCAAACTAGTTGTACTCGGTAAGTTTTTCAACTCAGCCTTCATATTTCTAAATTTTGTGGGTTTTCAGAACCATTTTTTTAATACAAACTTTAAATTATTGATTTGAAGTATCAAAGGATTTGAATTTTGTTCTAAAAAATAAGGGAAAAAATTTTTACTTTATTATTTATTTTGCAAACAAAAAGGCGAAAAGTAGAAGTATAAATCACGCAATAGCTTGGTGCTTGAAAAATGACCTATTTTTAATTACATTTCATTACAGGGTTCCTACGGTCCTTAAAAGTCCTTAAAAACTGCTTAATTTTTATTTTGGAAAATAAGGGCCCTTAAAAGTACTTCATTTTGGTTCAAGGTTTTTAAAAGACCTTAATTTTTCAGGTTAACGAACTTAAAACGAAATGTCGTTCTTTTATCACTTAGAATTTGACTATGCATTGAGGGTAAAGCATTTTAGGGAGACAAAAATTAATGTGTTTGTGGGGGGGGGGTGTTACAGGCAAGGGGAGGAAAGCAAGTCCTTTCATTAATATATTAGTTCTTTCATTAATATATTCTGCCCTTTGCCTAGAATTATGTTCTATGGGGAGAGTGAAGCTTTCTAAAAGAAAAGAATAGTGCGGACAAGGGGAATACTGCACATGGAAGAGATAGTGCTTTTTTTGCAGGGGGGGGGGCAGTTTTAAGGTACCTAAATAGAAGACCAACACTAACCTTCAAAATTGACAGAATTCAAGAAATTCAGTTTTACTGGTAACCAGGGTTGGGTTTTTGCCGTCAAAAACTGGTTTTTGACATGACAGTGGTAAAAACCGTGTTTTTACCGGTAAAAACCGTCAAAAACCTACTGTTTTTTTTCATTTATGGCATATAGCGGACAATATATTATTTTCACATAATTGCCTTTATAAATGAATGTTGTAAATGATTGCTATTGATTTTGAAACTATATACATGTATTCTTATAGAAGGATATACATTCATATAGAAATATTGTAATATACTTATTGAAAATAGTGATGCTTTTATCATTATAGCTTGATTTGCAAAAGATTCAAAATTTTGCACTTTTAAATTGTTAGAAATAAACAAACAAACAAAAAAGTTTGGAACTATTAATAAATTCAAGAACTAAAAAGAAGAATGTAAAATTTGGCATTTCTTAAATATTAGAAATAAGCTAAACAAAACTTTCAAAACTTGTAACTACTAACAAACTCTAAGTCAAGAATGACTTGACATTCTTCAGAAATGTAATATGCCAAACAAAATGATGCTTAGAAATGTTGAAAATTTTGTTTAGTATCCTAATATTTTACTTCAAATAGTATGTTTTGATATAATCATGTTGGGAAAATGCAAGAATCTGTTCTTAAATATCTTTTAACAACTTTTTTTCTAATTTTATTGCCCAAAAATGAATTAATTTTAAATTATAAGCAGTTAAACTCAAATAAAAATACAGTTTTACCAAAACTATGGGTTTTTGACAGAGGAGTTTTTGACATGACGGTAAAAACCATGGTATAAACTTGTGCAAAAACCGTCATGTGTCAAAAACTTGCCAACCCTGCTGGTAACGCATCATCTTAAAGGAATTGGATAAAACCCTAAGAAAAGAAGTATCAGAAAAGATTTTTGAACTAGAATCCGTAACGAAAACTATTTCCTAAAATCTTGAAGAATTAAATAAATTCGTGTAATATTTCAATGTGTAATAAGTAACTGTAAATTTATAGAAAGCTCAACATTTATTAAAATTCATAATTGTACTAAAAATTAAACAGAGTTGTAAGAAATAAGGTTTGAAAAATCCCAGCCCACCTAAGTTTTTTATCAAAAACCTGCGGTTTATTGATCAATGAAAACAAATTTTGCTTGTTTTTTTTTTTCAAAAATTCTTTTTTAAAGTTTAGATTGTTACACTATTATTTTTATTTCTTAAGGATAGCAGATTGTTACATAAAAATTTAAATCTACTCAACTAAAAAATCCTTAGATTTTAATAATCATTTTATTCAGTTAACATTGCAACTTAATATACTGTTTTTAATTTTTGTTCTAATTTTTGGTTGCTTTAAAATTAGTTCATGTTTTTTGCCAAAATGTTTAGTTACATTATGTAAAGTTGATTCATAATAACAGGTTTGGGTGGAAATGACTTTCTTTAAGTTCATTATGAAAGTAAATATAACTCATTTGCTGGTCTAGTAACGAAATATTAAAATTTGTTTGAAATAATTTATTAAATGTTTCAGACAAATTTCTTTATTTACCCTTTTTTTTTTTAATATACATAAAAGAAATTGCAAATTTCTGCACTTAATTTTACAATTCAATATCAATGAAATCATTAAAAATGGAAAGCAGATTAGTTTCGTATGTTAACTTTTACAATCTGAATGATGTTAACTTGTAACAATATAAAAATATTTTTAAAGAAAACCTGACCCCGGTTTTCAAAACTTCCCTGGTAATTCTTTGGCGAGCACTGTTACATAATACAATTATATCAGTGCTTACATTTTAATAATATTGTTTTTTAGTATTTTTTTATTTATTGATTTATTTAGGAAGGTAAATAATTTGCACTGCATACAATTTAAAAGTACTTAATTTTTAAAAAAAGAACTTAATTTTTTCAAAAAAAGGTCCTTAAAAGTGCTTAATTTTTGCTTTGTTGAAAGAGTGGGAAACCTGCATTAACTTATCCATTAACAAATAAATAATAAGAATGGAATGTGTTGCAGAGGTTCCGGGTCCCCCAAGCGATGTTCGTGTGGAGCAGACTTGGAGTCAAAGTGCTACTGTTCGGTGGAACGTTCCTTATGGTGGCAACAGCCCTATCACTTCTTTCATTGTCCAGTTCTGGAGAGATGCGGGTATGTTATCCATTGTTTCTCTTATTTTGATTTTTATTCATTCTTTTGAACTGAATTAATTATACAGTCTTGGAAATGTAGTAATGATAGCAGAATTATTTCTGACACTCTTAATATATTCTGATAACCTTCACCTCTCTTCAATCTTAAAAGCAAAAATTCATTAGTATGTGGAAGATAAGTGAAATTTTGGCATTTATGTTAATGTGTAATATTTTTATATTTTACAACCCTCGTTGAACAACCGACCCAACTTTTCAGGTTTTACGACTACTAATGTTCAACTCCGTAGCCTTGTAGTTTTGAATCCAATCCAGGACACAAGGGAACTCCTGGATCAAGCATTGAGATAAATTTGCATTCCTACGAGTCTTTTTAATGGAATTAACCCATATTTGCATTACATGGAGAGGAAGACCACGAAAACCACCTACAATTAGCCTGACGGCAAGGGGACTCTAACCCATAATCCATCTACCACTGAGGATATTTTACGTCAGCACTGTGGTCAGTGCAAGCCGAATGTGAACATCGTATCAACCAGCCATCGCTGGGATTTGACCCTGGTTCACCTCATTAGAAAGCGAAACCTCTATCCCCTGAGCCATCACGACTCAACTAATTTAATTTGTTTATTTTTGTTATTAAGACTGTTTATTTAAGGCTCTTTTGTCTGGTAGCTGTTCAAGTTTATCCTATCTTTAGCCATTGCCTTTTATGCTAGTGCTGAAAATGATGCACAATTTCTATATGAAGAAAAGCAACAGTTTTGTAAAAATGTAACGCATTTGTGTCAAATTTTTTAATACTTAAGCTGCATTATCTCTGCAAATAGAAATTTTTAAAAATTGGGAGTTGAATTGAAATGATAAGTTTCATTTAAGTTGAAAATCCCTATAAATTGGTGATTTTTAAATAAGTTTTGTTACTTTTAAAATATATTATTTTGCTTTTCTAAAGACCTGCTAATTCTTTTTTGCTATTCTAAAAAGATTAAAGAATCAATAGAAGTTAAAATACTGTGTTTTAAAAAAAGGCTTTTTTTTAAAAAAAAAAAATCTTTATTAATTTTCAAATTTAAACAGATTTATTCAGAAAATACAAGGAATTTTGTTTCTTATTTTCGTCTTATGGTAAATACTTAGAGTACAATCTATGGGATATTTAAGGATGATATAAGGATCATTATTTGTTTTAAGTATATTCAGCTGTTCCTTTTTTCCTCTTAAGCTTTTTCAACAATTATAACTAGTATAGTTTACCCATTACAGCTGGCACAAGATCTCAGTGATTGAGTTTTTCCTCTTAATATATTGTGTATAATATGTACAGGGAATTGCTTTTTTTCCAGATTTGAGTGGCAACCCTGTTAAATAACAAGTGAATATAGAATATCTTTTAAATTCACTTTTCACTTAAGTTTTCTAAATTATTGTTCACCTTCAATGATAAATTACCCACCTTTCAGGTGCACCTCACAAACTAGAAGAAGAGAAAGTTTCAGCCTCCCAAACCTTCACCATGCTTAAAGACCTTCAACCGGGTACATCGTACGTTGTCCGAGTCCTGGCAGAGAATGAAGTAGGAAGAGGGAACCCTTCTGAATCACAGCAGTTTCTCACCAAAGAAGCAGGTACTTTGTTTCTTTAATTTAAGGTAATTTATTTGCGTCCACATGCCATTTAGTTGAATGACATAATATATTCATCTCTAAATTGAAAGGGAATTTTATTTCAAATATCGAATCCAATAATTGCAATTTTCACTGTCGAAATGGAACTATGTGGTTTAAAAACAAAATACTGGTAATAATATATTTTTTACTAAACGTCATAATGATTTGCATTTCCTTAATCCTTTATATCATAATTTGAGTAACCGCAGTAATTGTTTTGATAATAAACAATGTTGAAACTTGAGAAATTAAAATTTGGCACAACAGATTTTGTCATACAAACTCTGAATACTTATTTCATGCTGGTCAAGAGGCTTGCCTATATTTAAATATGAGAGAGTAAATTGTGAAAACTGTAAAATGGCAAAATTCAAAGGAGTTTCTTTCAAATAAATCGGTCAAAGCATCCATTTAAGTTACTACATGGGGATGTGTGCCCATTCTATTCCAAGATTGCAGCCACCTTGTAATTTGAGGGTCAAAAATCCTAATCAGTTGAAATAACTTTTAGTACATAATTATTATTTTTTATTACTTTATTTACTAATAGTTGAAAAAATTTTTAATTATATGGTATATAATTTTTCACACCATTTTAAATAATGCAATTTTAAGTGGCAAAATACAAAATATGAGCGAAAACAAGAGTAATTTATGAGAAATTAAATTTTGAAGAAGATAAGATTTTTAAAATTCAATTTCTCAGGAACTGTTCAACTGATTTTGCTCAAATTTTGTATTTTCCCATGGAGAAATACATTCTTTAAAATTATGTAAAAAAAATTGTAAGCCTTACTATTCAAAGTTTTTTCGACTATTATAAATTAATAAAAAAATAGCAAATACTCACTTAAAGTTGTTTTTGCAAGGAATTATCTTTGGCTAAATGAATTTTATAATTGTATGCAAAAAATTCATAATTCACTTTTTAAAAAAAAGTGAAGATATGGCAAAATACTCAAAAAGTCCAATTAACGTAAAAGGGTCCAAATTTTGAACCGCTCTCATGACCAAACTATCGGGACCCTTATTTCCGAGATGGCGACCACCCCTTATATTTAGAGGGTCAAAAATCCAAATTATTCAGAAAAAGTACATTTTTGTGTCTGTTTTTGTAACTTAAAATGTCTGTTCTGAACCCTTCGAACCTTTAAGATTAAGTCCTAGAATGTGAAGATCCGAACCACAAGTTATTCAGGGTGGCTAATTTTTTATTTCATATTCCATACATCTTATTAAAATTCTGATGCAAAACTCTTTTTATTTTTTAACATATCTCTCTAATTTAATTTACTTCATACATAATATAATAATAATTTAATTCATACATATGTTTTATGAACATTTATTCACTTTAGAAGCTTAATGAAAAGAAATTTTGTGTCAGAAATATGTGATTAAACAGTTCTTCAGGGTTGCCACTCCACAGGAAGAACAGGTAAAACCTGGAAAATGCAGGGAATTTAAAAATCACCTAAAATGTACGGAGTTTTTATTTTTTCTTTACTAACTGGGGATTTTTTTCTTCTTATTTTTGTCTTTAAAACAACGATGACCACTCAAAACGTAATATTTAAGGTTGATATTTCTGCTACACTAAACTATTTAATTTATTATAGCATTATTTAAGTTCCTTAAGTTTTTCCCTCTATTAAAATTATAGTTAGCCCAATATAGCAGACACAAGAGCACAGTTTCATCTTAATATATTATGTATAATATGTACAAGAAATTTTTTTTCTTCCAGATTTGGGTGGCAACCCTGTTCCTTACAATTACAGTGTTCTTTACAATTAATTCAATAGCGTGTTTTTAACTGTTTCATTTTTAAAGATTTATGTGTATTTTGTTTAGTGCCGATTGCTTTTAAAATAATGCAATCGGCACTAAGATGCATTAAAAAATTTCTGAGTTTTTATCATTTGAGTGTTCCTTTAGTTATTGATTGAAACTCTTACTAAACCATTTAATGAGAATTCATTTGATAGAGCCTTCGTCCCCACCAACTGATGTTACCGTTGAAGCTCGTGGTGCTGGTACATTACGAGTGAAATGGAAGGTAAGTTATTTTTCTATAAATATTTGTAATGTTGCACAAATGTTTGAAACCCTGTGGCAGAAGTTTTTTGGGCTTTCTGCAACAAACTTACCTGGCACTAATATTTTGATTTAAGATATTTTTAATTATTACAATTACTAATTGAAAATAATAGAAACGTTGTGCATAGAGAAGAAAATATAGAATAAAAAGTTTAGATTTTAAAAGTAATATTTTTTTAATTCTAATATTATAGGCGATATTCTCGCATTTGCGAAAATATCGCCTGTATTATAATAAAATATAAAAATAATTAAAACATTAAAAAATGAAAAATTTTAGATTGCAAGTTTGAGTCATCACTTTTTAATGCTTTCAATTTGCACAGATTCCATCGTAAGTCTATTTCGTTTCTCGATCGCCTTTTCAACAGTTTTTGCTACGAAATTCTGCACTATTTTAAAACACAAAATTTTTAATACCATATAATACAATGCATGAATTTTGAATTTGAGTAATCACTTTTCACAATATATATATATTTATTTACATATATATATATATATATATATATATATATATATAAATATATATATATATATATATATATATATATGCATGTAAAATGATGCAGTCGGACCGAGCAGGAAAACAGACACAGGATTTTAATTAAATCAGAGTAACTTTTATTTGATCATTCTTAGTTGAGTGGGAGCGAAGAAGTGATGTTTACTCCATCAGCAAACAGTCTTTCTGGTAGGGAAAATCTTGCAAAAAATCCTAAAATGTCTCTATTTAGGGAAAAGAGGGAAATCTCAGAAATTACTATTGGTTAATGAACTTGCTCGAGTGATTCCCACGGTTTAAAAGGGAAAAATGATCTTTATTTCAATTTATGCATAGTTGGGCCAAAAATAGATTTAGAAACAGGATGTAGCTTTTAAAAGTGCGAGAAAGTATTTCGATTTGAATAATTAATTAGTAATAAAGTAGGAGTTGTTTTATAGCAAAGAAACTAAAATAAAAAGATTAATAAAAGCTTTTTATGTTACATATATATAATATTTGCTAAATTAATTATTGATAAAAGGGAAAATTTCTTCGAATAAGTGTGTTTTTTTTAATGAAAAAGTATTTTTTGAATGAATTTTAGTAATTAAAAGTATTTAATTTTCTGCAAACATACAAATTTTTTTATATAAAAATTTAGTACTAGAACATTAACGTTTATATAAAAATTATCATATATGCTACCAACTTGACTAAATGGATCATGGTCTTATAGTCTTATTTTTGTTGTTATTTAGGCAACTATTTTCATTGGTTTTGGCAACTATTTTCATGCTTTAGGCTACTAAATGCAACTATTTTGTTCATTTTTTTTCTATGGCAACCCTGTGCCTAATGCGCAAAGAAGACTTCTTTGAAAGAAAAAAAACGTTTTTCAAAAAGTTATGTAGAAAGGAAAACCAAAATTTTCCCTTTCCAAATTAAAAATCTTTCTGCAAAAACCTTGTAACATTCTGCGACAATGTTGCCATGTTGTCGCAATTCTGCTACTAAGGTTTGAAATAAAATAAACTTTAAGTTTTAAAAAAAATATTTCAATTTAGTGGCTTTAAAAAGCACGATTCTTCTCCTTTTTGGGAAGCTGCAAAAAAAATATATATATAGGTTTATCAATGCTTAATTCAATTAAAATTTTCTAATTTAAAAAATAAAGATCTAGATATTTTTTTCTTTTTCTTACTATTATTTTGTTTTATTTTTTTTCATTGACTTTTGAAATGGAGTAGTACCAACATAGAACTTATTACCTATTATTATTACTTTTTTTTAAAAAAATATTTCTCATCCTTTAACAATCAATTACCTCTTGGAGCTTTAATAAATACAAAATAATGTCATTGGCAGAAATATTTGTTTTATTTATAAAACAAAGACTTAAATACACTTTATAATTTATGTACATGTCTCATTCAACTTATAAACATATTTTTGGAGTGATCAATATAGGTCACAATTAGAACATAAAATGCCAATTTATTAGTTTCAGTGTCTTATGTTTCCTACTCTATGCTTCAGCTTGGTTTGGCAGTGTTTGATAGGTTATGCATCATATAATGTAAATTGGTTAATAATAGGTGTAGTCTATTGAAAAATGTTGTTCTTATAAGTTAAAATTAAAAGAATGCATGAATAAAAAACAAGCTTCTATAATTTGAAAAACTAATAATAGATTCTCGAAACTTGTTTAATTAGTTGGGAATATTATAACAATTATTTCATTTAAAATTACAGTAATTTCCAGTAGATACACTACGGCTTATCTGTACTTAAAAGTTAGATCTTCCTCAAAAATAAATGTTAACCAAAGATGTTCTTTCAAATGTAATATTATCTTGGTATGCAACGAAATCCACCTAGCAGTACGTATTTTGCCTGTTGACTGAATATTAGGGCTAACGGCAGTGACATTCAGCTTAAAATTAAATATTAGGGGGAAATTTATAAATAGTAACATGCATAAATTTAATGTGAAATAATATTTAGTAAATACCTCAGATTTTGCTAGAACAGATTTTGCTATGCTAGAAAATTCTATTTTATTTCTTTTTCTTTAAAGAACCTTTAAAAATTCTATATATATGACCATTTCAAAATAAAATTATCTTGAGCAGTCCTGTGACAGCTATGAAATCAGTCATGAAATCATATAAATATTTTATAAGTGTTATTTTAAAAGTTGTATGACATTAAAAATTGCATTGTGGTATTTATAATACACAATTAATGTGAATAGATATTCCATCATATCATATCCATATATGATACCATTCTGGTTTTTAAAATAAAGTTAAATCAGAAATTTTGTCAAATAAAAATTCATTAACTAATGTATAATCATAATTTCATTGAATGTTTGTCTTATTTTATTTTAAAAAAGTTAATAGTTGACAGCATTGTTATCATACAAATCTTGCTTTAAAGTTTTAGCATCGTTAATATAACAAATTGCTGAAACTAGTATCAAATGTGACAAATATCAAATTTATTTAAATAACAATGTATGTTTGCATAATTTTTACATATATTACGTACGTTAGTTGCATAGTTAGGTAGTTAGATATATTATCCCCTATCGAATAGAAAAGTGTACCCCCTATCATCAAGAAGTTATTACTAAAATAGCAAAATACAGTACTATTTTTTTTCTTTTAAATGTAGTAATATATGTTAATCTTCAAAAGTCGCCCATTTTGAATACATATTGGACATTACACCTCCTTAAATTTACAGCAAATTTAAATGACATTATGTTGTAATCTCCTAGTTGAAGTGTCTCCACAATTACGAATAGTTTCTTTCTTTCAGACCCCTCCCCGAGATCAGTGGAATGGTCAGTTGAAAGGTTACTACATAGGCTATAAAGTGTCTTCAAGTACTGATCCTTACTCCTTCAAAACTGTGGAATTCAGCAAACAAGGGGATGAAGAATACCGTCTCACAAATCTTCTGAGAGCCACAGAGTATCAGGTTATTGTACAGGCATTCAACAGTGCTGGCAGTGGGCCACCTTCCCAGGATGCTCTGGCTGAAACTTCCTCTAAAGGTACCCTCACCCCCATCAGTAAAAACTATTTCAGGTGATGATTGTTCATTTCCATTGTGGAACCGTGGGGACATTGTTGCAGAACTTTACAGAGCTCTTGCAGAAAGATTTTTCTTTTGTGAAATAAAAAAATTTTGGTTTGCTTTTCTGCCGAAATGTACACATGAAATATGAATCGCACATTTAAGTTATTACTTTCTGAAATGCTCAATTTATGCTGATATCGTAAATCCATTTTGATTGTATTTTCGTCAGTTATTGGCATTGATTTTCACGTGGCTTTTAGATATTCCAATATATTTCAGGTGATATGGAAGACTCTAATTGTGTATCGAATTGTTTACTTTTTAAGGCAATGATTCCATCGCTTTTTTTTGGCAGTTATTGCTTTTGATTTCCACATAGTTTTTGTAACCAATATTTTCTATGTGATATTATTTATTACATCAATCAAATCTTGAAACGAAACATGCATTTGAGTAACCCATTTCTGAAGAGTGTGATTCACATGATTTTGTCGTCGATCTGTTTTTCAGTAATTACAGATTTTATGATATTTAATTATGATGAGGATTTGCAAAATGCAATAAAGGAAATAATTCGTGTGTGCCCCCCCCTCCCAGCAAAATGCTAGAGTGTCGCCCATAATATTAGAATAAAATTATTACATGTATAGAAAATATTACATATATAAAAAAATATTACATATTCAATTAAAAAAATTGTCTTTTTTGTTCTTGTAAACACACCGTTTTTGTTATCTTAAATCAGTAACATACATCTTTGTTAGTATCTTGCAGAAAGATATTACATACCTGCCTGTTTTTTAACGAAAACTCCTGTATTTTACGACTATCACCTGTTTACCAGATTGTTCTCAAATTTCTCTGTATTGGTTGAAGAAATTTGGAGGGAAAAAAATAATAAGCTTGGGATAAAATATCTACTGATGGCATAAATACTTCTCTTTTTCCTCAACTGATTGTGCTGCAGTTTGTTGAGTGTTAATAGTTTAAGTAATTATAAATAATGGTTTAAAAAAATCTTCTTTAGGCTAAGAGTTATATATAAATTTTTTACTTTGCTAAATGTAATTGCTTATATTATTTCCAAATTTGAATTTCTCTTTTTGACTTACATGATATATCAAAACTTTTCTCGTAGCCTAAAAAATATCACTAGCTAAATATCCGTTATTTTATTTCTCCAATGTTGGCAGGTATAATATTAGTACTAAAGGGTTTTATCGCAGAAAGCCCAAAAATATTCTGCTACGTGGTGTGCGACCACCCTCAATAATTTAAATTAGTTTGAAAATTATGTGTTCATAAAACCTTTCAATAGAGTGTTTCTAAATGCATTTAAAAGTTTTAGAGGAAGTGTCTTTGCTTCTGATTCCTCAAAAAAGCTCTCATTTTTCTTGCCTTTTATGATGTAAAATGGCATTGGTGCAAGTAAAAACTTGTGAATTATTTTAATTTATTATTATTTTCTTTTCGCAACTTTTTTACTACTAGTGGAACCAGCTTTTAGTAGAAAAATACATAATTTTTAAAAGTCAGAGAATTAAAACGATTTTATATAATATTATCACTAATAAGGTCATTGTGAATCTATTGTGGTATCTAGAGACCTTGTTGAAAAACCTAAAATAATGAAAGCACACAGTGTTCAAACTTTCATTGAAAGTTGCATTTAGTACCACTCGTGGAATTTTGATTGTGATTGATCAATTGCTAGTAAGAGGTAACTCTTTAGAGGATGCCATACCATGGGGAAAAAATTTTGTCGCTAATTCTCTTTCACCTTTATTACTTATTTAAAGTGTAGAAAAAGTGAGTTCAGACAAATCTAGAGTAAATCATGAAGTTTCAAATACTGTAAAGAAAACTTTAAAATGTACAAACGAAAATAAATTATGAGATGATAACTTAAGATTACCCAATGAAAAAGTTCTCTTCTAATAATTTGTTTGCATTTTAATATTTTGAAGTATCTATTTTTTTCAGCAATTGCAACTTCATATTGAATTCTAGGTGTGCCTGAACTTACTTTTTCCTTCTTTTAAATTAAGAATGAAGGAAAAAGAGAATTTGCAATGAAAATTTTCTTCCGTGGTTCTCTCACGGGCATTTCATTTTAATGTTGCTGCATGTTTTTTCCCAATTTAAATTCTATTTCAAAGGCTCTTAAGAATTTGCATTTTTTTTTAAAACTTGAAGAGACTACTAAAATAAAACTACATCCAAATTATGAGGAAATTTTTTTCTTTTAGAAAATAATGTGTTTATTTATAATTTGGATGTAGTTTTATTTTAGACATGTCATTATTATAGAAATGACATATCTGAAATAAAACTACATCCAAATTATAATAATTTTTTTTTAAGAGCTAGCGTGTTTAATGATGTTGCTAAAAGTAATAATAATAATGATAATAAAAAAGAAAAAGTAATAATAATAATAACTTTTTCAGATCCCCCTTCACCCCCTTTCTTGTGGGTGGATTTCCAATCTCGTTCCAGCATAGGATTGAAATGGAAACATAAAATGGAAATCTCTGAAAATGGCACATCTGATATACGTAAGTTTATTCTTTCTCTTTTCAATCATTTACATCATTTGTAAAATTATGTTCTATTTAAGTGCATTCTCATTTTTTGAAATAAAAATTATTCAAAAAAAATCCATAAACCCTATGAAAATATGACCCTAGTTATTCATATTTTAAACGTATTTTCAATATTTAACGTTTTTCCAATCGTACGTTCATGTTCACTTTCAATTTTGCTTCATTTTGGCCCGCAGTTAGTATATGTGGATATCTCAATTCTGATTGGTTGTTGAAACGTGGCATGTGTTTAGATTAGCAACTACTCTTTCCATTCTATTTTGAGTAAGCCAAGCCAGTCAAGTATCAAATCTCTTAAGTGAAACATTCTAAATTTTTCGCAAAGATTCTTTCTCACGGATTTTAATTTTTCACTATATATTTACACACATAGGCTGGGATAGCCTGGTTGGTTGGGCTCTGGGCCCATGTCCAAGTGTTCGTGGGTTCGATCCCAGGCCGGCCAAAGAAGTGTAGTAAATGGTGACTGATGCACATTATATCTGTCTAGTCGCAAAGTCCTCCATGTTCTCAAACAAATCAGTACGTCTGGGGGTACTAATCCGGGAGTTACCTTGTCTTTTAGATTGCTAAAAAATTACAAGGCTGTGGAGTTGAACATTAGTAGCCGTAAACCCAAAATTGTGTCGGATATTCAACGGCAGATATAAAATAATGTGTGTATTTACGCAAAGACAGGCACTATAAGCCATGTGGAACATAAACTAATTATGCATCAAAGACACACAAAAATATATCACCGTTACAATAAGATACTTAAACAAATAATAAGTCTAAGTTAAGTAAAAGACAAGAAAGAATTATATTTCAACTAATTCAATGGGCTCTGCATTTAATTAACATTCTAACTTAGAGAATTAAACATTTATCTCTCTATCTTATATAACATCTATCTCTACAATCTTAATTAACATTGTAGAGAAACTCGACTTTAATACTCCATTTTGCTGATAAAGATTAGCTGACGTCATAAGTTACAAGTGTGGGTACCCAATTGAAACACTTTTGAATGCCCTGTATTAGGGATTGTTGAAATATTATGTAAGTATGCTTTTGGAAATTGTCTCATCCCTTATCAGCAAATCACAAACCCCTCTTTTGTGCTTAAATAATGTTTGACCAGCCCTTCCGCTAAATATGCAGAGCAGTGTATTCTCTACCACTGTGTCGCAACAGTTTTGTGTTCCGCCAAATTCTTAAATTGCGCCAACTTTTTTAAATGATGTAGTAAAATTACGAGTAAAATTCAAATTAAAGAAAAGTATATACAGTGGAACCTGTAAAAGTGACCACCTGGGTAAAGTGAGCACCTGAGTAAGGTGACCATTTTCTGCAAGTTTTATTTAAAGAGTCCTTTTTAAAGAGTCTTCATAAAGTGACCACCCCTATATAGTAGCCATTTGACTTGGTCCCGAGGGTGGTCAATTTAGACAGGTTCCACTGTATATTATATTATATAAGAAAAGAATATATATTATATTATGTAATTACATACTTTTTATAATTTTTCCAAGCTTAAACTGCATGAACATCTTTGTTGGTGATAGTCCTGTCTCTGACAATGTTAAAATTAGAATAAGGCTGAAATTTAATGACTATTTAAATTATTAATTAACAAAATAAAGCAAGCAAAATATTAAATTATAAAAGGAAATAAAAGCTAACAATTGTATGCAAACGACAGGAAATAAAAGCTATGCAATTGTTAGAGGTATAAAAACAAATTAACAAAGAATAGCTAACAAAAAGATAGCTAGCAATTAATAATTAGTAAAAAAAACAAGTTAACTAGCAATCACATAAAAATAATAATTAATATAAAAAACTAACAATTACTAACTATGAAAAATAAGCTAGCAATTAATAACTAGCAACAGTTGATAACAATTCACACAGTGTATTATAGTTAAGTAAACAACTTTTAAACTTTTTTTTCTTTGTATGCGGTTAAATTTTGAAATTGTTAAAAGTGTGAAATCGTAAAAAAGCTTTCATTTCATACATGGTGTTAAGGTGTAAGAGTAATATAATTAAGTTGTAATAAAGATGTTAAGAGTTGTGAATTAATTCTCTCATTACAATAGAAAAGTCATAGGTAGTAGTAATAAGTAGAGTTTTAGAGGAGGAAATACATAATCAAACTCTGACTAAATTAATGTCCAAGACTATTATAGTAAGAAGAAATTTACCTTTTCAAAATTTCATGAACTGTTTTATTGAGGAGGAAACTGATGAAAGGTGGTTTCTAACAAAATGAATTGCTTCTAAGTTTCACTCGACAAATAATCTAAATTTTAATGATTTCAGTCCCGTATTTGATCTTCTGCTGATTTGATGGTTGGTAGTCTGATTTTGTTTTTTTTTTCATCTCTTAAATATTAATTTGTTTTTTTCATCTCTTAAATATAAATATTAGTTTGCAATGCCTGAAGTTCGTATTTTCTCTCTTTATTTTTTACAATGATTCTAAAAATATACTTTGTGGGTCGATTAAAAAAAACTTTTTTCATAAAAAAAATTAAAACTATTGAAACAACATAAACATTTAGCTCATAGACAATCAAAATATATCCCCTCCCCCCGAAACTAAAATTATTTATTATGTATTTGCATTTTTCTATATTTATTTTAAATGATTTGTGTGTAAAATTGTTTTTTATTATTTCAGCAGTTTATTATATCCTGTATTATAAAGACGAATATGGACCATGGAGTGAAATCACTGTGCCAAAATCTGCGGAAAAGACGTATACTTTGGGGGGTCTTCGAGAAGGGACACGCTATCAGATATACATGAAGTCTACCTCAGAGACAGGAGACAGTGATCCCAGCGACATGCTCACACTCAAAACAGAAGGAGGCGGTAAGAGTTTTTTTTTTATTTATGAGCAGAGTATATAGGTGATTCACTGGGCCCGACTTAGCCTATTTGGGGGCCCCTCAGCTTCATTACTTCAGTAATGAAGAATTGAACTTTATCGAGGTATTTAAATTTTTCACCTCATTATACATATACAACAAGAAAATTGACTAGAACCTAAAAATAGCTAATATGTAATAATAATAATAACCAATGGTAAGTCGAAATATTGTTATGTCCATTTTATTGATTTTCTGACAATTCTATGTACATCATGACAAATGCAGTTTTCTGATTGATATCCTAGCTGACATTTGGGCAGAATTTAGCTAAATGTTCGCAATTACGATTGCTCACTTAAGCCAATCAGAAGACTGTATTTTTGTAAACATATCGCATTTTGCGATATGTAAAAATACAGGCTTTTGATTGGCCAAATTTGTCCATCGTAATTGTGAAAATTTAGCTGAATTCTGCATTAGAAGGTCACGGATTTACAAAATATAGATTTTTTGTGTTCATGCGATAGATTAATGAAGAAGCTAATACAAAACTGACAGATTTTACACTATACTCATATTTTGTTTAAAAAAAGTTCATTAAAGAGGAAAACCTAAAATGAACTTTCTATTCGATTTGGGGGGCCCGGGGCAACAACCCCTTATGTCCTTGCCTTTGTTGAGTTCTGGTGGTTAAACGAAACAGTTTTTTTCTCATGTTAAAAAAAATTAGAAAATGTTTCAATAACTAGTACGCTTTGGAGATTTTTTTGACTCATACAATATTTGAGCTGGCGATTTCAGGGTTGTGACTCCACGGGGAAATCCTGCAAAATACAAGAAATTTAAAAAATCAACTAAAATAACAGGAAAAATACAGGAAATTTAAAAAATTAGCTAAAATAACAGGGAAAATACAGGGAATTTTGAAATTTTCCTTACAAACTGGGAATTTTATTTCTTATTTTTGTCTTTAAAAAAATACAGACCTCTCAAAGCACAATCTATGGGATATTTAAAGAGGATAGTTCAGCTATATTATATTATTTCATTCACAGCCAATTTTGCGTAATTCATTAGAGTGTGCACAGTGTAAGTCGAATGGTCCTCCTCCCCCAATGTATTTTTAAAATCCTTAAAGCTAACATAAAGAGTATTTTATAAGACTTATCAAGTTTAGTTAAAATTAATGCGATAAATTATGTTGTAGTTCTCCCTTCTTTCTCCCTATTCAACTCTTTTCTCACTTGTTCATTTTGGCCAATGTCAAAGTAATTTTTCAAAAATAAAGGGAAGTTAAAGAGTTTTCGCTGTGATTTTCGGAATTCAGAACCCCCTAGGAAATAGCTTAACTGATCAGATCGAATTTTAAAAACGTTTAGGCCGTATTTAAGAAAAGCACAATGTTTTACAACTATAATTGAATTTTCTCACACGTGGTGCCCAGAAGGGACGATTTGTAGGGTATATGTTGGTGTCTCAACATTCTTTTGGTTCTACAGATTTTTATCTTCTTTTTTCTTGACTTGTATTGGCAATGGTTATAACTCCTGCTCAGCTGAAAATTGTATCTGACTCAAAAGCAGTTTTTAAGTTATTTTCATCTAAAACTTTATAAATGTGTTTCGGAAATTGCTGCAACACCTTGAAATAAATTGAGATAAATCAACTGATTTTTGCTGATTTCAAATTGCTTATGTAATGAAAGCTAGTTACATAAATGATAATATATCATAACACTTATGTATACATTTCAATAGTTTTTGCTGATTTGAAAGATTATTGGTTTTATTCTTCTATGCTTCTTTTTTTTACAAAATTTTTTTTTCACCTATCGTCCTTAGAAGTTTAAATGCACCTCTCAGTGAAAGATTTATAACAAACATTTTTGTTTCTGGGAATTTAAATATTGATTGAGTGATAACAAAATATGTTACGAAATTTTTTTGCCTCACACTATCTTAAACAATGTTTGAAACTGTTTTGACAGTCTAGGGTTCAGAAAAAATGAAATGTATTTTTGGAAACAGAACAAACTAATTTCCTGTCATATATTCCATTGTATTATTCATTCATTAAATTAAGGTTTAACAAAACAAATTTTTTAATATTTTACAACAAATTTTAAAATGAACTGTGTCTACTAAGAAGTAGGTGCTTTAAAATTGAATAAAAAATATTTAGCTTATTAAAGAATGTTTAAAAAGTCTTATTTTTCAAATCAAATTGCTAAGAGATATTAATAAAGCTATATTTTATTTTAATATTATATAACTGTCGTTGAAGAGGCGACCCAATTTCGATTTTAATACTACTGTTCAACTCCACAGCCTTGTACTTTTAAACCCAATCCAGAAGACAAGGGAACTCCTGTATCAAATATTGGGAGAAATGTTGCCTTTATGGACTAACCCACATTTGTGTGACTCGCAGAGGAAAACCTCCCGCAGTTAGCCTGACGGCAAGTGCACTCTAACCCATGATCTGTCTGCCACTGAGGATATTTTGCGTCAACACTGTGGTCGGTTTGAACTGGGTGCAGAATTCGTATCTATCCCCCATCGCTGGGATTTGAACCTGGTTCAACTCATTAGAAGGCTAGCGCTCTATCCCCTGAACCAAACATTTCCAAAAATTCAAGGACATTTAATTCCTTCAACTCCCAGTCTTGGCAGCTTTAAATCATTTTAGAATTTCACCTTTAGTTGACAGAAAAGTCTGGTTCAGGACCTCCAAACGTTGTAAACCTCAAATTTGCTCTGAATGTCAACATTTCCTGATTAGATTGCGTTTGTTTTTCCACTGCATTCAAAAGTATAATCATTCTCATAAATTAGGTGTGAAAATTTCCTCCCTTTATAAAATATATATGATTTTATGAAATTAAACACATATTATGTAGCTGCAACTTTTGTGCTTTACTCTACTTCTGATCCTTTTACTTATTCAGGGTGGCCACCCACCTTGAAAACCTGGAATTATCAGGGATTTTTTTTTATACTGGAAAAAACCTGGAAAAATCAGGGAATTTTAAAGAAAAGCTGGAATTTTTTTTAATTTCACTAATTTAAATTATTTACTAATTTTCTTGATTTAAATTATTTCATCCATTATACCCACTTTCTTTTGACGGAAATGTATCTTCAAGCAGTTGAAATATCATCAACTTTGCAATACTTTGCTTGCATCAAAATTTGCTCCATTACAGCTCTGTTGAACTAGAATGCCACATAAAATTCTCCCACTGTTGCTAAACGAATGTGGAAACCTTTGACCGCTGTGGACTTTGCAATTTAGGAAAGATTGTGGTGGAGGTGGAAGAAGGGATTAGGATATTAACTTCTGTTTTTAAATTCTGTCCTTGGGCTGAATCCATTTATGGCTTCAATTTGTTCCAATGCTTTCATGGCTATTTTTTTCCATTTTGACAAAATGTTTTTGTATTTTTAACTTTATGAAATTCTCCAAAAATTAGTTGCTTATAATTTTATAATAATAGATTTTATATTGCACTCTTTTTCTGAAAGCTTTTGTATTCCCATTAAAAGAAATCTGAATTATTTTTTCTCAGTAAACCAACCAATCACACATTTTTTTTACAATCGCTAACAGCAATGTTTGTCGACAAATTGTTGCAATTGTTGCATTAATGCTAATTTTTTCTATTTCATTTTAACCTTTTATAACATATTTTAATTTCAAAAAAGGTTTTTTTTTAAGAACTAACTATATACAATATTTAATTTTACTCTTTTGTTGGTCAATATATGATTTTTGATTCAAAATTTTGTACCAAAACAATAAAAAAATGAATAAAAAATCTTGCCAAATTGTCAAAATAAATTATTTTTTTCAAGATATGTTAAAAAAAATAACATTTTGAATAAAATATTTTATAATATAGACACTTTTCTTGTACCCACATCCTACACTTTATTAGAATAAAGAAACTAAAACCTGGAAATTTGAAATCTGATTTGAGTGGCCATCCTGTTATTTATTTTTAGACAGGATTGTCACTCCTTGCGGAGAACATGGAAAATTTGGCAAATACAGGGAATTTAAAAGTCTCCTAAAATAACTAGGAAAATACAGAGAATTTTATTTCTTATTTCAGTCTTTTAAAAATTGGTGACCACTCCAAGTACAATCTATGGGATATTTTAGCAATCCCCGTGGCAGAAACACGGCGACACAGCGACATTGTCGCAGAAAGGGACTGAGTTCTTGCAGAAAGATTTTCTTATTTGGGAAACAAAATTTTTGGGTTTGGCAAAAACAAAAGTTCTCAAAAAAGATTCTGCAGAAACAGAAACTGTTTTACAAAAAAATAATTTCGACAGAAACAGAAAATTTCTGCAGAAGCAATAATGGTTCTGCAAAATTATTTTCTTACAGAATTGTTTTTCTAGCGTACCGTGGAAGGGGAAAGCACTCGTAATCCTCCGTTAATCTCCCTAGTCCGTGTCCAACACAAACAGTAACTGGATATAAAAGGGGAGAAATTTTTTTCCCCTTTATTAAGCTATTTTTGGGACATTTGCCAACTTCGGCCTTTATCGCTAGCGCAGTAATTTGCTTTTTGTGTTTTCTTGCGAGAATAGAGCATTTTATATTTTTTGCTCTTATGTGGAAAATTTCATGCCTAAAAAGATTTTTTCTTTTTTAAAAAAATAATGTCTAGCGAAAAGGTTATTTGTTGCTCTTGTGTTGCAACAATAATTATAAAAAAAAAAATTTGAACTTATTTTTCAAGGCCCATTACGAAGAAGAAATAAGATGGAAAATGACAATATCTAGCGATGTCAGAGATTTTTTTTTTCTGCAAAGCGACAGGAAAAGAGGAAAGAAGCTTTCCACGCTACTAATATTGAAAAAAAACCGTTCTAGATTCAAACCAAATATTCTTACTAGTAGCGATGTTGATAGCAAGGATGAAACGGATGATAAAAATCTTTTGAATTAAGCCGTCGATATAAAAAAAAAAACACTTGCAGTATAACGATAAATGAAATAAAGCCTAAGATATCTCACTATCTACGATTTTTTGGCATGCGAATGAAAACCAGATTGGTGGAAAATATTTACTGGCGAAACACTTTCAAATAGGTTTCCATACGCATGTGAAAAAAATCGCATCCAATGAGTATGGCTCTAATACCGATGTTTCAGCACTGATGAAGACGATTTCGTTTCGAGNTATATATTTACGGCTGGCAATGAACTTTCGTTCTTTACCTCAGAAGTGTTGCTCATTTAATGCTACTCAGTGGGCACCTGTGAACCTAAGTCACAGAGACCCATTTATAGGGTGGGCCACATTCACACATTATACAATCGAGAACAACACACAGAGAGAAACATTCATACCCTGAGCAGGATTCGAACCCTCAACCATTGGCTTCACAGTCAGGAACGCTGACCACTCGGCCACCTGATAGCCCAATATAGCTCACCCAGGAGCACAGTGATTGTGTGTTTTCTCTTAATATATTGTTTATGGGAATTTTTTTTACAGATTTGAGTGGCAACCCTGAGATAATAATAAATTAAAAATAACAATTGTGTAACTTCATTCCACTTCACAATGATCTATTTATTCTTTTCCATGCTTATAGCTCTGTCTGACATGTCTTCCCATCCAGTGGTGGAGAGAGGCGGGGAAGAAATTCCCATTTACCTCCACTCCTCTGTCCTGATTCCTTTGGCCTCCTCTGTTGGCCTCATCTTCCTGGTGCTCATTGGGGCTTGCATCTACGTCAAAAGGGTGGAGAAGCGCTACAAAGCAGCTGTGCCAGGTATTTATTTCCCTATTTCATATGGTCCCGCAGTGGACTGATCGTTAAGACACGGTTCCCAGCAGGTCACCGAAGTCAAGCGTCAGTGTGCGGGTGGGTGACCACTTGGATCAGTCTGCATAGGGATCGAGGGTGTGCTGTATGGGTCCTCGTTAAACTGTTCTACCGTAAAGTGCTTGACTTTGCGTGCTACCGAAGCGGGGGTGCCATCCCCTCTGCAGATTGTGATGGCATGTCTTCGGATCATCCTCGGGGATGTTTCCCAGACCGTCGTCAACAGCCCATTGTGCAGCTCTAGTGTGGTGTAAATGAACTACAACTACAATCCTGTTTCATATGAAACTCACATTCAAGGCATATCAAGGTTTTAGGGTTGGGTGGAAAAAAAGGACAATTGAGGATTTCCATCTGGATAAATAAGTTTTTTTCTCCCTTAGCTACTGAGAGTTATGAAATTTAGTTGTTTGCAGCTATTCTGCAATATAACTCCTTTTGAAAATAATAAGTAAACAAAAATTATTTAATAGAAGCAAGAAATTTAAAAAAAATCTCATATTTCCAACAAGCTACTTTGAAAATTCTCTCCTTATAAAAAAGCAAAAGAACATATCTTTTAAAAGGTGTGTAGCATTTTTAAAAAGTGTTTAAAGAGGCTTATTTTTGATTTACAATTTATAAAAGCCCTTAAATGTGCTTTTTTTTTATCCGGGGTATGTAAAAATCGCTTAATTTTCTTTCTTTTTTTAAGAGATTTTTTCTTTTCAGTGTCGATTGTTGTCATAAATTTCAAAAAGCTGGATTTTCAGAATTTTTTCTGCAATATTTATTTGAAAATTATCATGACTATGTAAAGTTTTTGAAAATGTTTTTGCATTTTGTTGATTTAATGTTTATAAATTAAGAACTTTAAACGATAGAAAAAAATAATTTTTATTACTGCGCATATCCTATTTATGAATTTTTTTTTTGGAAAGTGCTCAAAAATATTTTTTTAAGTGCTTAAAAGGTGCTTATTTTTTGTTGAAAAATCTGGCTATGCACCCTGTTTAACTCTGGAGGAAGTTGGGCATGGTGTTTTTTTAACAGGATGTACCACAGGACACAGACATGGTATCCTTCATCTATCACATATAGATATATGCCACCTGGGAGTTTGACCCAGCCCCCATCATTTAAATCCTTATAAAATGAATGTATTTTCAATTTAAAAAAGACTTTTACTTATTCACTAACTTGATTTATATAAGTTTCAAACTCTCTTTAACGAGCTAAATATTTTGTGTTGCATTTGTAAAAAAAGAAAAATTGTTAACCTAGTAAATATGCTACATGGTTCGTAGCTTTTTTAAAAAATGCTCAAGGTGCTTATTTTCGTTTTTTGAAAGCCTTTAAATTAGAAAAAGTACTTTATTTTCTCTTTTTGAAAATGTTTTTCCTTACCATGTCGATTTTTGTCATGTATTATGCAAAAAGCGTGGTTTCCACATTGTTCTATTCAATGTTTTCACAATTTATTCAACCACAATAAATTTTGGTGTTCCATCAGCCCATAGCACATGAAGGCGCCAATCATTTTACATGTTTGATGAAATACTTTCGAGTCCTTAAATGCAAATTATGTGTTTATTTAAAACTAATCACATAACATATTATGCTTTACATTTTACAAAGAATCATTTGAGTAACTTTATTAGTTATTTATTAGGCTGAAAAGTGCTTGCAAAAGCTGTTGTACCATTTCTATTTTTTTTTTTTTTTTTACCCTTTAGTTATAATCAAACAATATTTTTGCAGTGTTATACTACATCTTATTCTCATTTTTATTTTATGTAGAATATATGTGAAAAAAAAAACTCTTTCTTGCAAACCCTGATAATTTTTACATTTGTGCAGATGCTCGTAGCTATTCCTACAGTGGCAGTTCTACTTTGCCTCATTCTCAGCAGCAGAGATTCAAGGATGTTGGACCCCCTCTCCTACGAATTCCCCTTCCTCCCCATCCACCACCTGAAGGTTATCCACTTCCTTATGCCACTATGCCTATTAGGAACGGTTCTACCACAACAGAAAGGAGGCGACCTTCTGAACGAGCCATCGTTGTCGGCCGTATGCTTCATCATGTGAGTTGTTTTATTTTGACTTATCTTTTGTTGTTGGTATTTATTAACACTCCATGACGTTTAAACACTTGAATATAAATCCAGGGGAGTGATTCCACTAGAATTTCTGGATCCCTTTCTACTAGCTGAGGGTTCCTATTTAAAATAGGACTATTCTATCTCTTTATCCATCATCCATATTTGGCATAATTATTTTATCAATTGATAGACAAAACATAGAACTCCTAACGAAGGAGACGTTTAAATGATTCAATTAGGACTGATCTAACACCTGCATCTGTAATATGATACTTAAATTTATTCTAATTTTCTATTTCACCTATACCTATTAATGAAGGGAAAAAAAAGAAAATTTTTGTATATCTATTTCAAGTTTGGTTATAACTTTGGTTAGCACTAAAAAAAAAGTTGAAACAAAATAGAACATATTACGTAAAAAATATATCACATAAAAAACGGAAAATAAATGTGAAGAAAAAACGGAACAAAACAAAAACTGTAAAGCAAGTTGTGAATGCGCAGGAAACTTTAAAGAATGACTCAAAATATTATCGTAATATGATTGCTAGATTACAAAATATGAAAACAGATGCTCAAATGGAGCTAAAAGCGTAAATTGAGGGATTTTGTTTTTTGGCACGTTCTTTCTGCAGTACTTACATACCTGCCAAGTCTCCTGTTGTTTAATGAAGACTTCTGTACTTAATGATTATCTCCTGTTCACCCTTATATTCTCAAATTTCTCTGTATTTGTTGAAGAAATTCAAAAATAAAAAAACAATTGGTAATAAAATATCTGTTGATGGCAAAAATACTTCTCTTATTCCTCTACAGATAGTACTATTGCCAGTACTCCAGTATGTTGAGTTTTAATGGTTAAGTAATTATAAATAATGGTTTTAAAATTCTTCTTTAGATTAAGATTTATATACATATTTTTTACTTCGCTAAATGTAAGTGCTTATATTTCGAATTTCTCTTTTTAACTTGCATGATTGTTTCTCCAACGTTGGCAGGTATGTACTTATATATTTGCCCACTCTTAAAAATTTAACAATATCAATACAAACTACAGGTTATCTGCACACCTGGAAAATCATGAATTTTGGTATTGAACAAAATTTGTTATGAAATGTCATGATTTTAGCAATTTTTTTTTTTTTTTAAAAATCATGGATTTAGGTCGCCGAAAAGTCTACTTTTTAAGATTGATTCCCCCCCCCATTTCATAGTGTTCCGAATATCTTAATTTGTAACAAAGTCCCCACCCACAGTCATATTTTATTAAAATCTGAAATGTTTTAATCATGTTCTTTAAAAGTATGGTGTTTTTCAAAAAATGAAAGAAAAAACATAATTTCAAGAGCGAATTATCTTTTAAACTTCTGTGATTTCAGAGTTTTCGTTATTTTTTTTATTTTTTATTTCATCAATTTAAAATTCTACCTGAAACAAGCCAGTCATTGGCGAATTGTTTTTATTCCGTAATGAAATCAGAAAAATCAGTATTTCTTTCCTTTCCTATAAACAAGAAAAGTATCTTAAGAATATAATTCTGCAGATAAAAAGAAAAGAAAAATTTGCTTTTGTATTCTTTTCAGCTATTGTATTGCTTCAACTCTTTCTTTACTCTGTTTTTTAAATTTAAAATAAATATGAAGATGTAGTTTTGATTATACCTATCATTTCAATTGATGTTATTTTAATGCTTTTTTTAATTTATTGTTGTATTTTTGTCGGAGAAAATAGTAACTTCGTTAAGTCATGAAAAACTTTTGGAATTAGTCATGAATTTGAAAATCTAAAATGTAGTAGATACCCTGTTTTCATTAGTGGCATATTATACATTGAATTGAAAATATTCTCATTTGAGGTGGGTTTTTTTTTACAGGCTACCATGGATCGTAAGCGAATGGCCACAGCAGGTGGTCTCACCATTCAGGAAACTGCAGAAGTCCACCACTACGACATGGCAGCTTGATTTGATTTCCTCCTCCTTCATTACGACATGACTAGAAGCAGCTTTATTAAACTAAACAACTGCAATTAGTCCAAAAATTCATTTCCTAATGTCGTAGTGTATTCACGAGTTTAGATGTCGTGTGTCATCTATAAGTACAAAAACATAGATTTCCAAAAATATTCTTGTACTACTACACTACTAATGGAAGAAAATGGAATGATTGTGTCTTCTCCAAGAATCTGGATCTTCTTTTCAAAATTTAAACCAAAGTATTAATTCAAATGAAGGCTTTTAAAAAACTAGCATAAATGAAACCTCAAATGTCAGCAAATATATATTCATAGATATTAAAAACTTAATACAGCTTATATTCCTTATCGATGATCATGTACATAAATCAACACAAATAGTATTTTGATATGGAACAGTAGAAAAAAAAATTATTTAAATGTTCAATTAAAACTTTAGCAATTGCTAATGAAAACATTGTCTTTATTTACAAAAATGTTGTCTCCTAACATATCTCATACTATTGCAGCTCTTCAATTAAACATGTCTCAGCTCATGAAGTACTCGCATTCAGTTCTTTTTTTTTTCAGAGCTCATATTGCTTATAGTTTATTACGACTCCCTTTTTTCAAGTTTATTATAGTCACTATTTCTTGTTCATTTATATTATAGTCATTGTTACTCATTTTTAAGCCATAAATTCCTAGTCAAATGCAACATAAAGAAAAATCTTCTTTGTCCAGAAAATTATCTAGGTTAATTATTATCTATCATAATTCAGTGTCACATCACACTACTAAATATTGTTATTATTTTTCAATGACATCATAATTGCTCAATTTTCTTTATTATTATTTTAAGTTATGATTAACTAATTAAATATATCATAATAAAAATTTTCTTTGTCTCAAAAATCCTTAATTGAAAACATGTTGTTGTCGGCCATTAAAGCAAATGAGGTGCGATTGTTTTAGTTTTCCAGTGGCGCTATCTATGACCCGTTTATAGAGCGGACCCATCCTTTCATCCACAGATCGTAATTTTGAACTAAAACAGAACGATCAATCTCTAATTCAGTACCCCCAGAGGTATAATGTGTTATGGGAACTGGGAGGATTTTGTAATCCAACAGATTTAACGTGCACCAGTCACCATTTATTATGAGGGGAGTTTTTGGCCGGCTGGATTAAAACTCCCATTATCACGAACGCAAGCCCAGCACCCTACCTACCAGGATATCCCGGCCTGTTGAAAACATGTAAATTATTTGAATATCTGATTTTCAGAAACAGTGAAGAAATTTTAAAAAATAATGATGAAAGAATGATTCTGAATTTTTACCTATTTTGTTAGATAAAAATGTATAGATAATTGAAATTATTTGTATGAAAAATTCTGTTTGAAAGCAGATATAAATTTTATGAACTTCATAAATATTTTCATGTGTGGTGCCTTCTTTCCATTCAAGTTGTGTGTCATGTGATACTTCATAATGCTGCAAACATATTTAATAACAAAAATAGTAGTTTCTAAAGAATTTCAAACCAATGGAATGTTATGCTTCAACTTTAGGTGCTGAATAATTTGTGAGTTTTGTGATAACGATTTTGGACTGAAAACAATGAACATTTAATAAATGAATGACTTCACTACTTACGCACAGAACTATTATAGGGACATGAATTACTTTTCCTTATTTATGGGGGGGGGAGACCCGCAATAGGCATTTCTTTTCCTTTTTGCAGATAACAATGTTCTATAAAAACTGGATTGCAATTATATATGTTCTATTTATGATTTAGCACAAAAAACTGTATATATAAATATTTTTAATTATTACCGTATATCCCGGTATGTCAAAATTTTACAAACTATCTGGGGGTCTACTTATAAATCGGTAATATTGTTGGACATCCGTCGATTGTGAAATATCGATGCATTATAAATAATGAGATAGATTAACGTGAAACCGCTTAATGTGAAATATTGCTTTTGATGAAAGGCATGTTTGATCTCTTGGGTCAGCAGTCAATTATTGTTGTATTTTACAGTGTTTAACATGAAATTTTTAAGCTGATTATTGCTTAAGATAAAAGGAAACTAGACACAGCACAGTAATAAATAATTAGGTTTGGTAGTATAGTATGTTGTAATATAATACCTGACCGAGTTATTTTTTTAAAATTTCATATCCGCTGTTGAACAGCTGACCCTGTTTTGGGTTTACGACTACTAATGTTCAACTCTGAGACTTTGTCAGTTTGGACCCATCCAAAAGACAAGGAAACTCCTGGATCAGTACCCCCAGAGGTATGATTTGCTATGGTAACATGGGGAACTTAGTGACTCGACAGATTTAAAGTGCATCAGTCACCATTTACTACTTCGGCTGGCGGAGATTGAACCCGCAACCTCTTGGACCTGGGGCTACCAACTAGGTTATCCCAGGCCCCAGACGAAGTTATTGTAATGAATGGTGATTTAAATCCCAATCATTCATTTTGAGGAATGCTATTTCCATTTTTTTGCTTTGTTAGGAGAGCAGATGGGCAAATAAATAAAATAGTTTGATTAAAGTGGTTAAAACTTTAAAGCTTATTTTAATTTGTTTGATTCATAATATTATTGTTTGCTTACATTAATGTAATACATGATTGTGTTCATGATGTATTGGATAAAACGAAATCTGGTTCCCATGAAATAATCTTGATAGTCCCCCTGTTTTTGCGTTAACGAGGTTCGACTATATTATACGCTCGACGTACAAGAATTTTACTATCTTGCAGTCAAAAATAGGGTTTCGGCTCAAATACCAGGATATACTGTATATTTAGTTTTTATTAATTATTAGTTCTTCCTTTTTATCATTTGAATAACTGATTAGTCAGTAGTGTGTACATTTGTTGGAAGAATTATTTTAATTCATTAATAATTTTGCTTGATATTATACATTTGCCTTATGTCATATTAAATCCTCACTTTTGACATAGTCAACAATTTAAATGAAGAAATAAACAGACTTTAAACGTGTGAGGGACTTTTTAAAATTTTAGATAACTGATTAAAAAGAGACACGGTTAATATGTTGGCGTAGCACCATCGAAGAGAAATTATTAATGTCAGCAAAAGGAAAGTAGCATTATCTTTTTGTTCTTATAAAAGAAAAACATAAATTAATGCAGAATAAACTACATAACATTTATACAAACTAGACTTTTTATTTTAAATATAGCTTAAAACATGCTATACTAAGAAATAAACTTCTTGAAATAAAGCTTATTTTCAAGAAAAAAAATATGCTGATATTGTAAAGTTATAAAAAAAATAATAATAAATAAGTAAAAAAGGTGAATAGACCTTCATTTAAAAGTCTACAATTTTAACATAAGTTGTAATACAATTTGCTGTTATTCGTTTTAATTTTCTTATTTGTTTGTTAATTATATTGACCTCATAAAACCAGGAATATTAAAATCTTTTTTTTTATTTTGTCTTAGAAAACTGCAATGCGTTTGCTTTTTTTTTATTTTTTTTTTGAGGTACCGCCTCAGTATTCCTTTCTGATTATCTTAATTCCTCCATTGTTCTTTTTGAACTTTACAATAATTTTACACAGTTTGGAAACTTTTTTTTTGTTCTCTTACTTGATTATTAATATGTCACCTTTCAAGTGAAGTTTTTCCTAATTTATTTAAATAAAAAAAAACATTGATGTGGTAGAACACCTGTCATTCTTCAAAATAATTTATGTGTACTGTAGTTCCACTGAGAAATTATTGAGAATTAACTTCAAATTTTCGATGGGTGTTATTTTGCAAATTGTGTTTAAATGTCATAACAAATTGTTTATTCAGTTTAAATAGTCTTTTTTGTAATGGCAATCCAGTTATTATAGATATTAAGTATAGTAGATATCTTCTAACAGTGCCAGATGTTGTTTCCCTCCGATCTTTCTATTGCAAGTTTGTTATGAAATTGTTGCACAACTGGCTGATGTCTTTCTTTTTTTTCTTTTTTCATTTTTTTTTAAAAAAGAAACTCTTTCTTCAATTTCCAGCTGGTCTGCAAATTGAACTGAAGTGTGCAATAAAAAAAAAAGTTTTTTTTAAGAAAAAAAAGTGCTGCTCGATGGATCGCATGAATGTCTGAAGAGACTTTTTGTTTTATGAAAGAAGTTATGTTTGCTATAAATGTATGAATGTGTTTTGTTTTAGTAAACAAATAATAAATGTTGTCTATATATATATATTGATGTCAGTATTCTATTTTGAATTTGATATTAAGCACACGATGTATGAAAGTCTTTGATGACTGTTAGGAAACTTCTTTTCTTTACAAATTCAATAAAATTATTTCTTTTTTTTACTTTGCCTTCTTTTTCTGACACTTTGCAAATTCATTGTAACAAGTGGCGTAGTTTTATTGTGGATGGGCTTATGCCTTCTAACATATATATTTATATACCTGCCATATATATACCAGTCGCTAAAATAGATTTTACAAAGAGGTAGTAACTGAACAAGTAAAGTTGGAAAGATTTTTTAATTGTTAATTTGTTGTAGTAGATTGAAAAAAAAAAATTTTTTTGAAACTTCAAAATTGAAGATTTAATGCGTCAAACTGCTGACATGCGCATGACGCGCTGCTAATGCGCAAACTGCTGATAACTAATGTTGCTCACGGTGCGCTTCAACCAAAGTTAAATAAAATGCTCTTACACCTAGAAAAATAGAAAAGATTCTGAATTTATAATGTTATCAGATAATCAAAATCTGTGGAGAGATTTTTAAAAAAATCCACTTTGAACATTTTTGCGCACAAAGTAATATTTTGGAAAATCTGGCTTTGTTTTATATCAATAGAAAGGAAAAAAATGATATAATAATGATTTTTCAGTTGTAATTCTATTAAACTTTTATTATTTAAGCATTTTACTGCTGATAAAATATGAAAATGTAACATAATTTAATTATAATTACATCAATTTAAACATGTCAAGCATTATATCTACAAACAGATGTTTAGAATAATCCAGGTGATTTGCCTTATTAATTTCCCAGGAAGACTTTAAGAAATCAAAATATACGGACTCCATCGCCTGCTCCCCAAAAAATGCTAATCCTTCACCATTTTTGTCACAGAACTGTTCAATGTGAAAAAAAACTGCATGAACCTTTGGTGAAGCGCTGAAGTCCATGTAGCTCTTTTTGAAAGCTTCTATACATGCTTTGTAATTTTGGTCAAGATTATTTCCGAAGCATACAGAAACCACTTTTTTGAAGTCGTCAAATACTTTAACGTATTTCAGTATTGCTTGATTTTTAAACTGGTGCAGAAGTTCTTTATCCAAAAGTGTTTTGCATGCATTTCCTTTAAACCCAGAACATCCTCGTCTGATTTCACGCTGAACGTGACAAGGCTTTTGTCCATGTCAGCGATTCATTTTCACACTCTTTCAACATATGCGTGAAAACAGTGTTAACAACACCAAGCATAAGGTGGAATAATGTCTAGGAATGTTTTGTCTCCAACAGTTGCAATTAGCGATGGATGAATGCAATTGAAATAATCTTTCGATTTGTTTTTTGAACCTTTTCCTTCAGTCAGCCAACTTGTATAATACGATGAAACATTTTCGGGGGATCTCAATTCGCCACAGCTGCTTAGCTCATCTTTCTTGGCATAACAATAAGTGCATGGGCATGCGCTGCTGTGCGACATTATACCTGCTAAGATATTCACTAACTTCAAATCGGTTGCAATTGTGCCGCGGAAAGGACATCGTCGAAATGTGTTGATCTACATTCTTATAATTTTCTTGTGCACTCGGAACGGCTGCTAGAATGAATATTCGTTTTACTCCAGAATCCTTAAATTTCCTTTCAGCTATCCTCTCATCATACTTAGCACCCTTACCGCTGCACTCGAAGTCCAATTCATTTGTTTGTACAGAAAGACATTTTTAAAAATCCACCTCCTCCATCAATACCCATTTTTAAGTGAACATCTAGTACATCTCGTTTATTTTTCACATACTGAACAAAAGCAGGAACATCTTTGCAGTTAACTCCAAGCACAGGAGCATCCGAGACTTCATCGCCTTTTATACGAACGAAAGGAAATTCCTTAAAATCAAAATAATCGTCGACAGAATGAGCTGTGATATTAAGTTTTGTTTTTTAATCTTGGTTCAATTGCTTTTCTACTTCATGTACACACACGAATGGAAGCTGCCATTTTTAAAGTCACAGTGCTTGTGCTAATTTCATAGTGCTTGTGTCGCTAAAATCGATTTAAGTTTTTATTATTTTTGTTTTTTTAATAGTGGTTCATCGACTATAATTAACAATTAAAAAACTTCCAATTATTATAAAATTTATTATAAACGGTTATTATGAGTATTTAATACAAATATGTTTTATTTTTTCGATTTATAAGTATAAAATGATGCTAACATTTTTGAACCTACTTCGTGAGCAAAAATGTTCAAAGTGGATTTTTTTTTTAAATCTCTCCACAGATTATTTTTATTATCTAAGAACATTGTAAATTCAGAATCTCTCCTAATTTTCTAGGTGTAAGAGCATTTTATTTAATTTTAGTTAAGGCGCACCGTGTGCTATTACTAAGAAGGATTTTTTCTATCAACGGCCGTACAAGTTTGCAGCTATATGTATTCTAAACGTTTAAATTATGAGAAAAATGAATAATTAAAATTTTTTATGTTTACATCTTACTGACCGAATAGCTCTTTAGTCAAGTAATGAATAATTTTGGAGAGGTATTTTCCCCAAAACTACGCCACTGATTGTAACAGAAATGGAAAAATAATCTTAAGCATTGAAAATCAATTTTTTAATAAAACAGATTCACGTACGAAAATTTAAAGTTGTACTAATAATATAAAAGGGTTACCACACAAATCTGAAAGAAAAAAAAACATTCCCCGGATTCCCTTTTACATATTTTACACAGTACATTAAGAGGAAGCACTTCAATTACTGTTCTTTTGTGTGAGCTATATTGGGCTAACTATATTTATTAGTTTTAATTGCTGGAAAAACAGCTGAATGTACTTAAATAAAGCTATAGTAAATGAAATAGTTTAGTATAACTGAATATCATACTTAAATGTCTCATAGATTAGGCTTTGAGTGGTCACCATTTTTTAAAAGACTAAAATAAGAACCAAATTCCCTGTATTTTCCCAATTCCTAAAGAAAGAATCAAAATACCCTGTATTTTTCCTGTTATTGTAGATGATTTTTAAATTCTCTGTATTTTCCAGGGCTGTCAACCCTCTGTATTAACAGGGGAAAAAAGCATTTTTACTGTTATAAGAAAATGAAGCATTACTGTTTTAACTTTCAATGGAAAAGTAACTTCTACGAAAAGCGGTAAAAGAAGAACTTAACTGAATAATCTTCATAAGTTTTCTGTGAGCCTACAATATCAGGGAGAGACTATTATTGTGAAAATTGGGTTTAATTTAACATGTATGCAGCAAAATTAATTCATTTAGAATAGATAGAAATTTTTCACAAAGAAGTATTAAAAAAATTTTAGTTTTAAATTTATCTATTTTTTTATTTTCTTCTTTATACATAAATGGAGTATTTGAAATTAATAAATTGAATAAGTCCCTATTCAGGGGTGGTATTCTGAGCTCGAGTCGACCGTCGATTTGAGTTTTTGGAAGCAGCACCAGGGGGCGCTTTACCTGATATTCTACTTTCCCCGCCCATTGCTCGATTTTTGGTATTCCTAGCAAGTTTTAGTGGATCTTGAGCTCTCTTTTCGGTCGAAGCGAAAATCACTGGTATTTTCAGTAGAGTAATGGCGAGCGCATGATTAGTAATTATTTTACACGGCTAAGTCCTCGGAAGAGACCGATGTATAGAAACAGAAAATATGCTTTTAGTCTTCATGATGATGTATTTTATGATTTTTTTCGATTAACGGAAAATCTTGTTCAGTATTTTTGCGTGGAACTAACAGAGGACTTGGGGAAAAAAAGCAAGGCGAGGAAACGTGATTTCAGTAGAAACATACGTTAAACTTAATTTATTTTCAATATCATGAGCATATGTCCCGCAGTGGACTGATCGTTAAGACACGGTTCCCAGCAGATCACCGAAGTCAAGCATCACTGGCTACGGTCAGTGTGCGGGTGGGTGACCACTTGGATCAGTCTGCGTAGGGACCGAGGGTGTGCGGTATTGGTCCTCGTTAAACTGTGCTACCGTAAAGTGCTCGACTTCGCGCGCAGGTCGTCGGGCTACCGAAGGGGGGTGCCATCCCCTCCGCAGAGGATCAAAATTGTGATAGCATGTCTTCGGATCATCCTCCGGGATGTTTCCCAGACCGTCGCCAGTAGCCCATTCTGCAGCTCTAGTCAAATTTTAGATTCAAATCAAATATACAGTGGTTCTAATATTGCCATAAAAACTGAAAATGGGATATAAACAAATACTTAAGTGAATAATAAAGTATTTTATAACAATGAAACTATATATAATTCACTATACTTAAAATCTTTGAAAAATCTATTTTAACATAAAACTAATATTGCTGAACATGGTAATTGCAATATGAAGTACGTAAATTGCTGGACAAATTAATAACTAAATATTTCGAATCTCTCAAAGTGAATTTTTTCTTATAGCTAAAATTTTATAAAAGTTTTGTTAAAGAGAGTTCAAATTTTTTTTCATGTAACAAGGAGGTCCATATAATGAACTGTTATGTTTATCTTTTCATCATTTGATTGGTATTTATCAAATTTCACTCGTATAAGAATAATGAAGCATAAAACAAAAAGCTTAGTTGAAAATAGAATTTAAATTGCAAATTATACTTTCTTTTATTATCAACACAAATAAAGTGATATAAATATTATCTTCTTAAATAAAAAAAAAGCCTGCACTCACCTCTATTAAATCATAATTAAGAAAATTCGTAATTTTCAAAAGGCAAAGTGAAAACCATCTGTTTAGCAATATAAAGTGGTTAGAAGTTAGTAGCAAGAATGCTGTTTACATTTGAAAATTCTGATATTTTAATTTTTTTTCCTGGATCTTTTTTCTACTATCCACATAATATTAAATGCAATTAAAAGTTTATTTCTTTTTAAAAAAAAATAGCATACATGTGATATGCCAATACAATGTACTCCTGTAATACAATTCTGAAAAACAAAGTTTGGTTTCTTAATCGCTATTAGAATAAACAAACCAAAGATCTGATTGCAACTCAATAAACTAATAATAATAGTGCATATTAGATTTTTAATTATCAGACTTGTAAATAAAATTTATCTAATAGGTCAATGTTTAACATTATCAACAAAAAAAACTTATCATTTC